AAGGGAACAATTGGGAAGACCTGTATTTTTAAATTTTAAACTAGGTGCAGTGTAACAGCTATCTGAGTGTATACACCTGATGATGGCCGTTTGTGGCTGAAACATGTAGTGTAGAAGAAAGCAAGATGAAAGACCTACAATAAATTGTTGCACTTAGGACGGAGTTTATATCATATATCGTATAGAGTGCAATAGGATGCTTAAATATAATATAGGTATCTCAAATGAACACTTGTTTGAATGTTTACTCAGGTGTGGCACTCTGACACGGGAAATAACCTGACTGGGTGACTGCTCTCATACAGGTAAAATATTATAACAGTAGCAATGCGAGTTTCAGGATTTATGACTGAGCTAGCATATAATTCATAAGCTCACTTCACAGTAGTTATTTCATAATTTACTGGGCCAACTTTAAGAGGAATTATAATATACATATGCTCTTGGGTTTCCAGTTCAGTTAAAGATCTGAATCTCCACACGAAAACTTGACAGGAGAATGGCCTTTCTCTTTCGCCTGTGTGGCTCAATGATTTACTGAAAAATCTCAGACAGTTGATATACACCACAAAAAGTTGTATACAGTGGCAAGCTGTAACTTGCATACCTATAGTAAATGAAATTCCTGAAAGTAAATTGTACTGTACAGAAATATATTTGTACGTTATATATCCCAAACTTTTGTCCAGCAAGAATATGAAAACCAGGACTGTTACAGGGCAATAATTTATGAACTGATTGTGACTTGACAGTTGGCTGGTGAGACTAAAACAAGTCACAGAAATATCAGAACTCAGTATTATCATAATCTAAGGCCATGACTCCATGAAGAAAATCTATTTCAGAGCCAGACCTGTCTCTTTTGGTAGGTCACAAATATTTAACTTGTTTTCTTCATTATTCTATACATTTAGCTCAGTCTGTTTTGTAGAAAAGCTATTTAATATTGAATATTTAGTTATTCTGTGATCAGATGGTTTTTTATTTCAACAAATAATCCAACAAATTTCTCATTTTCAAATCTTCCAAGAACACTGCAACTGACTAGATCCTTCCATGTTTGTCTGCAGACTATATTTATCATAAGTATTTCTCACCTTCTCCTATTTAATTAAAGCATCTTACCTTGCTTGATTTTACTTTTGAACAGTATTAAACATGAGAATGAATTTTTAGTTTTATGGAGGATATTGGATTTCTTTTCAATTGACCCAATCCTTCTGGCCACACTATGGCCCTGGAGTCGACTCAGCTTCTAACAGAAATGAGTACCAGGAATATTCTTGGGGGTAAAGAGCGGTGGGCACATAGGGCTGACAACTTTGCCGCCATCTATGAGCCAATTGTCTAGAAAATGTGGGAACCTCAACATCTCGCAACCCTATGGGCCTCCACGACCTGTTACAGGAGTACCTTTACTTTTACTTTTATAGGATTCAAATGTTAACACCATTCTTGCTGAATTATTGATGCCACCAACACCTTGAAGAGCTTTCAAATAGATAACAATAAAAAATATTGGGTGTGTAATGTAGTAACCTGGGATTAAGGATGATTATTTTAGTGTAACTCACCAGGTGCACACTGGCAACGATATCCCTGGGGTAGGTCCACACAACTTGCACCATTGTAGCAAGGCTGAGATGAACATTCATCAATGTCAATTTCACAACGACGTCCTGAGAAACCAGCAGGGCAAAAACACTGGATACCATGACCTGCATTAATATAAAAACTGTAAGGACCAATATTATGTTGCATTTCATTATTATGCTGGTTACTAATTTAAATTTATTCCAATAACAAACTCATTCAATATGCAGGTCTTTAAATTTCTTACTCTTCATAATATTCACATAATGTCCATTACATAAACAGTCAATAATAATTATTTTCCTACAATTAAGTGCTATAATGTGTACTTCCATTCAAAAATAATGTTGTTACAATTCAAAATGTATTTTAAATTTATGAAACTGCAAGCAACAAAAGAAAGAATCTTTTGCAATTCTCTGTCAAGATAATCATCTTGAACATGATGTGGCATAATGACAAAGACAGCCATTGCTTAATAATGATTCAATAAACATGTATTCAGGGCAACAAATGAACACTCAACAATAAAAGTTATTGCTTGAAGCAGTGTTCTCCATGCCGAGGTCATATAACAACAGCCTGTGGGTGAATAAGACAGTCATGGCTAGGAGAGAACACCGTTTCCTATAATGTCTCTTATTGGTGTGTGTTTATTCCTTACCTAGGATACTGTATTTATTCAGCAAGTCATTACTAAGCAATGGCTGCATTCATTAGTCATCATATCATAATATTTTGAAGCACTCTAACCTAATATTGGAAACTCAATATTGTGATGTACATGGTTCAATCCAAACGTTCCCAAAATTTGAATTTTGCGTGCGAATGGTTATGAGTACATCGAAATACTGCTAGGTGTCTCCCCACACACCCTTCTTGAATCAGTGTGGCAAGCGGCGTCGAGTTGAGTGGTTGGGTTTATTGTTGGTGAAAATATTTCCATTGTTGTGTTCCGTGAGTTTGCGGTTTTGCAATGGCTGACCTGAGAAAGCAGCATGTCTGTATAAAGTTTTGTTTCAAACTTGGGAAAACCGCTGCAAAAATACACCAATTGTTGAAGCAAGCTTTTGGTGACAACAGTTTAGGCCAGGCACAAACTTACAACTGGTATAAGCATTTCAAAAATGGCCAGAGATCAACTGATGATGACAATCGTTTGGGACGGCTGTCAACTGGCACCACACCAGAGAATGTCGCGAAAGTTAGGGATCTGATTCTGCAAGATCGTAGACTGACCATCCAAGACCTCTGTAACACCTTGGGACTAAGTTATGGTACATGTCAACGAATTTTGTCAGAGGAACTGAACATGAGGAGGATTGCGGCGAAGTTTGTGCCACGACTGCTGCAAAATGAACAGAAGCAGCATCGCTTGGAAGTCTGCAGGGAACTTCAGCAACAGCTTCAAGAGGATCCAAACTTTCTTTTGAAGGTTGTCACTGGTGACGAAAGTTGGGTTTATGGCTATGACCCTGAAAGTAAGCAGCAATCGTCGCAATGGAAGAGGCCTTCTTCACCTCGGCCAAAAAAAGCTCGACAAGTCAAGAGCAACATTAAGTCCATGTTGATCTGTTTTTTTTTTATTGACGGGATTGTTCATAAGGAGTTCGTCCCTCCTGGTCAGACAGTCAATAAAGAGTTCTATCGCGATGTTCTAAGGCGTTTGAGGGAGAACATGAGGAGAAAACGTCCAGAGAAGTGGCGCACGAACGACTGGGTACTCCACCATGACAACGCACGACCGCTTATGGCTTACATTGTGCAGGATGTTTTGGATAAAAACAAGATGGCGGTTGTTCCCCACCCACCGTACTCATCAGACTTAGCTCCATGTGGCTTCTTTCTCTTTCCCAAGATGAAAATCAAGTTGAAGGGGCGAAGATTTGATACAGTTGAGGAAATTCATGTGGAAATGCAGACGTTACTAAACACCCTAACAAAGAAAGACTTCCAGGATGCATTTCAAAAGTGGCAGAAACGCTGGAATCGGTGTATGCGCTCCCAAGGGGACTACTTTGAAGGTGATGGTGCAGAATAAGATCTAGGTAAGACGTAATAGTTTTTATTAATATATTTCTGGAACTTTTAGATTGCACCATGTATTTGCCTTGCCCAGAACATGATGGTGAAGGCAAATATTTTTATCTTTTGCCATTTTTTCCTCTGACTTATTATTTAAAGACTTGTAATGCATAACAGTGTCCAAAACTGCTTCAGGATTCAATCAATGCCATTCTTCTGGCATTTCTTTCTTCTGTATTAACTAATGATCAAGTTTACTGTCTTCTGGAATGGGACACCATGTAGTTTGGTAGATAAGTATGAACAATTCAGAGGAACCTGCCATCTCCATCTATGTAAAAATAATGGAAGAAACTGTGTGGGTATAAAGAGTTGAAGGACCAGGACCAGGGTTCTCAGTGAACAAAGAGAAGTAAGTAGAACAGAGTAAAGAATGTTGCCATGTCTGTGTTTGGTAGAGAGGATATTGGTGTTCTGGAGCTCCATGCAATATTCCAGGTTGATGCTGTGCTTTGCCTTCATAACTTATCTGGATGATAAAGATAGACATTCCAATGGTGCTCACTGATCCTGGTCTCAACAACTGGTCTGTCCAACATATACATTACTACATCCATAGGAGATGCTGTATACTCCTGGTACATTCACCCATAGGTTATCCTTAACTGACCCAAAGGAAGATGAAAATTCCCTATGGCATAAGGGTGACTGAATTGATATTATCTAGACAGCATCCTGCTAATGTGATGGTCTGGACAAGAAAGGAAATATCTCTGAGCCCCAAAGTCAAATGCCAACTTTACTGTCCTTTCATCTGGCAACAACAATGTGACAGTTGTCCTCAGTACCATGGGTTATAAATCAGAAGATCAATGCCCTTCTGGAAGACTGGGCACACAGCATGTCAGACAAGGACTCCCCTTAGTTCATGGAACATAAGACTACATTTTTCCTCGAGAAACCCTTGTTTTCTGAGGAGTCTGCCAAAAACTGTGGCCACAGGTATTATGATATCCCAGATTTTGCAGCCTGACAAGTTAAAGAGTTTCCTTTAGACACATCATGATCACTGTTTTAATATAATCTCATCTCATAAGACTGAGTATTATGAGCAAGTCTCAGCACATCATATAATCTCCTAATTGTTGAATTATGAAAAAGAATACAATAATTAAACAGTCCTTCTTGAGAATATAACTACTGCACAACTAGCCAAGAAACTATCTGCCTTTCATAGAAATGAAAATTTATTACTATGTTCACAAAATCCCACAACTAGACTCTATCATGAACCAGATGAACCCAGTCCATATCTTCATACACTATTTCCATATGATTAATGTTAGTATTGTTCTTTCGTATGTACTTGTAGCTCCCAAGTGGTCCCTTCCCTTCAGATTTTCATATTAAACTTTGTATGACTATTTTATCCCTGCCATGTGTGCTATATGTCCTGCCTATTATATCCCTCTTTCTTATCACCTTACATTAATATTAATGGAAACCAAAAATTATAAAACTTTCCAAAATGCTGATAAGTTTTTTACAGTCTCACTTGTGTATAAGCTTTTAGTTCGACTGCTTCTCATATTATATTGTAGCACTGTGTTGCACATTTCACTTAGAGTTGACTACAAGAAACTAATCAACACCAAGTGAAAGGTGCAACAGGATGCTACAATATTTTCCAAATGCAGTGAGTAAGGTGACCAGTAATGATGAAAGATTCACACAAATAAACATATCCTCTAGAAAATTCAGACATTTGCCATTTGGCCTAAGATTCTGTGTGGTTTACATCAATGTACACATAAGCTGCTTTCCAAATTGGAATATTGATTGAACTTTCATTCATGTATGAAAATTATGCAACGGAATTTTTAATAATATTAAATACCCATGGGCACACAAAGTCCTCCATGCTGACAGGCATTGTCTGTGCACTGAAGGGGCTCACACTCTTCACGACCAATTGCACCTGGGCCACCAGTGCGTGTGTTAGTAGGACACTCAAAGCAGGTTGTCTGACCATGCTGGGGCTGGAAGAAGTTGCGTGGACACTGAGCACAGGGAGAGAGACCTGTGTCTGAATACTGCCCAGGAGAACATTTAGCTGCAACACAAATTAAAAATTTAGAGGGCATATTTTCTTCATGAATTGGAATATGGGCAGTATTCCATTTCAGAAGAGCTAAATAAATCTTCATTGATCTTAACTAAAACAGATCTCAGATAAACTGACCATATAAAAGCTGACTCCACATTTATAAATTACAATTCTTTGGTCACTCAGAATCTGAAAATGGAAGAGAGAGGAGAGCTGTAAGAATGGTTCACCTCGGCAGTATTCTTTCCCACCAGTTGCAGGCTGATAAGTAAAAGTATTAGCTGGACAAGCCTGACAGTCCTTGAAGCCATCAGTAGGTGGTTCTCCTGTGTAACTGTTGCGTGGACATTCTAAACATGGCACCAAACCTGTTGGAGAGTATGTTCCATAACCACACACAGGAACACAATCTCCTATACTCTTTGAACCTGAAAAAGGAATAATTATCATGAATTAAGTGGCTACAATCAGTTTGTAAAATGTTTTATCCAAAATATAGAATAAAAACATGAAATATATAAAGAAGAAAGAATTAGGTGACATTATGAAAATGTTTTTTTAAATTTTAACACAGTTTCCAAACATCTGAGAATAATATACATCACACAATCTGAAAGATATATAAGGCAGTACATACATTCACTTTACACAAATAAAATATCTTTTCTTCAGATTTCATATCATGTAGCTTATTTCTCCTTTTTCTTATTAGTAACCTTAGCTGTATATTACAGATAACCTATGTAGCTGGGATACCTCAGCTGGTATATTGACTGGGCTATGGGCTGAATGACATGTAATTGAGATTTGATTCCCAGCAAAGAGAAGAGATTTTTCTCTCCTTCAAAGAGTCCAGGCTGACTCCAGGGCCCATCCAACTCCTTTACAACAGATAACGCCATTGTTGCCCCAGGGGCAAAGTTACAGGAATATGAAACTGACCATTCATCTCCATTTAGTGCTTAGGTTAAGAATGGTGGAGTTATACTTCTACATCCTCATGTCATCATGGTGTGATGCTTAATTCATTAAGCACAGGGGTAATTTTACCTTTCACCATTTACATTTACTTTACCAAGAAACACAGAAATCAAATCTTAAATATTCACCGGATTAAATCATATTTTTCAAACGTCATAAAGGTCATTAATATTTTGTACATTCTGTAATTACACAAATACTGCAAAATTTCTAATTAAGGGTGAGATATGTTTATTGGGATTGTGCAAGCTGACATAAAATCAACAATAATATCATGTGTTAGTGACTAGACACAAGGTTGAATTGACAACTGGATTTATTGAACACTTGTAACTCGCAAATGCAAATAATTCTAATTCTATCAGTAATCTACGCATTTAACAAAGCCCTGCTGCAAACATTAAGTCTCCTCAGTCTGCTATATCTTCACTAGTCATTGCTTGTTAGCAGCTTCCAACATTGTTTTCTTTCTGCTACCATTCTTACATCACTTCTGGCTCAACTGCTCCCCCAACTCTCAAGTCAAAGTCAAAGTCACGTTATGACTGACAGTTGGCCAGTTAGTTCTACATAGGTCATACTGAAAGTCATGAGCAACTTTTTTTTGCATGCAACCTGGGAACAGTAGATGAAAGAGAGTACAGTGGTAGGTGGAACCAGCTGTTGTGTTAATTTTGAGTGTCTTGTGACATCAATAGCTTGCATCACATGACCAGAATCACTCCTAACAAAATGGCCGACAACAATATGTCGTTTCACCAGTGTGCTGTCATCAAATTTCTTGTGAAAGAAGAAATCCCTGCTGCAGAAATTCACCAGAGACTTCAGCGTGCTTATGGTAGTGTGTGCATGGGTGCGAGCAGTGTTCAAAGATGGGTGAAATATTTTAAAGATGGGAACACCAGCATCAAAGATGAGCCTCCAAGCGGTCGCCCTCGAAAAGTCTCAACTGAACACAACAAGGAAAGAGTGGATGAGATAATTCAAGATGACAGGCCTGTGACTGTGAACACAATAGCCCAAAAACTTGGAATAGGGCACAGTGCAGTACAGGAGATGATTGAAAGCTTGGGCTATAGGAAAGTTTGTGCTCGTTGGGTCCCACGGTTATTGACCAAAGACCACAAAGGTCAGCGAAAAGCCATCACCTCAGAACTGCTGCAGAGATATCGGCACGAAGGTGATGATTTTTTGCTCTGTATTGTGACAGGTGACGAAAGTTGGTTTCACCATTTCGAGCCTGAAACAAAATGGCAGAGAATAGCACCATTTGCATTCTCCATCAAAAAAGAAGGCAAAGACAGTGCCATCAGCTGTGAAGGTGATGGGCACAGTCTTCTGGGATGCAGAGGGGTTTATTCTGGCCAAATTCCTGGAAACTGGGCAAACCAGCAATGCTGCTTGTTATGTCCAGAAGCTGCAGAAGCTCCGTCATGCATTGCGCGATAAACGTCCGGGACGAAACATCATCATCCTGCATGACAACGCTCGCCACCACATCACTTGCCTCACATTGGAAGCAAATGCAAAGATGGGGTGGGAAGTTCTTCCACACCCCTCCTATAGCCCTGATTTGGCACCCTCCAACTACCATCTTTTTGGATTTGCGAAGGATCAGCTGCATGGAATAACGTTTTGAGAGAAGGGAGGCAATTCAGAAAGCAGTGCATCAGTGTCTTCAGATGGCTGGAACAGAATTTCACAGAAGGGGAATTTTCAAACTCCCAGAACAATGGGAGAAATGTGTACAAAGAAGTGGCGTTTATGTGGAAAAATAAAGAAAGGTCTGTAGACTGAGGTGGTGTATTTGGTTTGTGAATAATAAAGCATGTTATTTTACAAAAAATTGTTGCTCATGACTTTCAGTACGATCCTCGTAGTTATATAGCCTCAGCATGGACTGCATAAAAACATCGTTTCCAAGTCTTCTCTGTTGTTGTATGTTTTTCTCCAACAATTCCTCTCTTGGTGTGTGCATATCTAGTACCACAGTATGAGTTTACTGAGACATTACCTAGCAGCAGACAGCTTCTTTTGTTAAATTATGCAGTGATCATGTCACAATACAAAAGGATTAATGATGTGAAGAATTTATAAAGTTCTGCATTATGTAGTCCTGTTTAGTTATGCTTCTCTTAATAGAAATCTCAGTTAAAAGAAACATGTGGGAAATATTCCAGCACATAATTTCACATATGCAGAATCTATTGCTTCAAAACAGCATACGAGGGGCAGCCAAAAGATTCTTGGAATGGTGGTATAGCACTCTAATGGTAGGACATATGGCAACGCTTACCTAATCACCTTCAAAGTAGGACCCTTGCGCGCGCACACACACTTTCTCCATCGATCCAGCCACTGTTGGAAGCAGCGGTGGAAAGCTTCTTTTGGAATCTTCTGGAGCTTAGCCATCGCATTCAATTTGATGTCCTCCATGGTTGCGAAACGTGCCCCCTTGACGCTGATCAGTCTTAGCCCTTATTTATTTGGATGATTATAAATGACCATGAAATTTATTTTTAATTTATTCTCGGAAATTTTAAATTCAAAAGTCTTATATTTTGATGTTACTGGAACTTCACTGTGATCTATAATATCACATTTCATTGTCTGGGATGTGCAATATGGTGTCTATGTTGACATTTCTAGATTCTGGCAGGACCAAGGATTCCGGAGTTCTGACATTTACGAGCAGTCATAAATTTAGCTCGGGTACAGGAAACCGGACGCGCCTACAAAGAAAGTCAATGAGAAGGACAGGTCAGAACTCATTACAATTGCCTGGGAATGAGGGTTATTATGATTTAGTTGCCTCGTTCAAACTTCTCTACAGAAAACAGAATGACATTTATATGTTCGCACCATGGAGAATTAGAATTCTTTTGAATTGCCAGGGTGGGGTGTGCAAGTCATTCCACAAAGGAGTCTTTCACCATATTCCGAAGTGAACGGACGTGATCCTTGCGCGCTCTGAGACATAGCTTGCAGATCGAGTAACATGTTATAATTTAAAGCATAAGGATACATTAAATTAACAGTCTGGTTTGGAGAACAATAAGTGAATAAACATCAAGTTGGATCAATTCCCAGAATACCGCTTAATTCGGCATCACTACCATGAGTCTCATGTAAACTGACCAAGCTAGTTTCCCGTACCTAAACTGACCTTCCTTAGTTTGATCTGTGAGGACAACTTGCAGTGATCATCATACACTATCCTAAGGTAGAAACAGGTGTCTCAGGGATAACACCATTCCGACCAAACTGATATAAACAAAAGGCGGGTTGGAAAAGAGCAGTGTTACCCTTGAGGCCCATTTTCAGAGTAGGGAACAGCCAAGAGTCACTCAGAGCGATATCCGGAGCGTACGGTGGTTGAGTGATGACAGGAAAGTTTTTCTCATCTAGTTATTGCTGCACAACAAGCGATGTGTGGCTCAGTGCATTATCATGATGCAGAAACCACTGTCCCTGCCACTTGTCGTGCCACTTCCTCCAAACTACATTGCATAACCTCTGCAAAACTTGCGCGTAGAATTGGCTAGTAACAGTACCAACTTCTTGCTCCAATTCCGTGATGGTCATTCTTCGATCATATCGAATCAGTTGTCGCACTTTTCCAATCATTTCTTTGGTTCTGGATGTCAAAGATCTCCCACTGCGCTGGTCATCCTCTAACATCTCCTGCACATTCTTAAACCGGGAAGACCAGTCGTAAACTGCGGATTTCTTTAGTGCAGTATCACTGTAAACTTGCCGCAAGGCCGATAACGTCTCTGAAGCAGATTTTCCCAATTTGCACATGAACTTGATGTTCACATGCTGTTCAAACTGTGACATTTCGCCAATTGACGAACACTCATGTCTAATTCAAATGGAACAGTAACGACACTGCACACTGAAACCTGTTCAGACCTGTTGTGCCTGCAAGCAGACATGCTGAGCTTCCCACCACAACAGTGTGTGCGCTATCTTATTGCTCATTCTCTGTCTGCAAGGGAATTCCAGGAACTTTTTGACTGCCCTACGTATTGTTATCTGCTGTGACAGTATCTCCATATGTGGTTATTAGATGGGAATTTTGTCTTGAGAAATACATTCACTAAATCACTATAAGGACAATTAAATGCAAAAGATCCATATAAATATGATGAGGCTCCTCTATGAAAAGTGAAAATGGGATCCCTGTGCGGAATGTGTTTCACTTCACACATGGCACAACTAGCTACTTTGATTCTTGTCCTTATACAATACTTGTTACTTGTTTGAAAATTAATTGGAGTACCACTGCAGTATCTTATACCTATGCTGAGATTATACAATATCCCTTCCTACCTTCCTCACGTGTGTAGGTGCCCATTGGACAGCGAATACATGAACCTTGGCGATCTCTATTTTGATAGAAGCCTCTAGGACAGCGGGTACATTGCTGTTGTTTCTCCCCTGCAAACGTTCCAGCTGGACAATGCACTGAAACACATACAAAACTTCCATTATAGATTCTTATATGAGTGTTAGTATCCACGCTGACGTAAGCGTAAGCTGATAAGACTGCCTCCCCCTTCCCTCCCCACTCTGTGAGAGATGGTATGACCCCTCTACCATGGCTAGAGTTCCAAGGAACTAACAGTAAGTGAGATACAGAGTGCATTCAGTTTTCTGTGTGTTCATAGCAAATTTGTATATTGTAGTTTCATTCATCATACAATGGCAATGAAACTTCGTTTGGAAGATAATGAAATTGAAAGGCAGCAGAAGTTCAAGAAATGTGGTGTAGGACTGTGCATTCTCAGATGCTTTGAGGAGTACCATGCAAAGGCAAAATTCAGTTACATGCCATGGGGGAGGGGGTACAGCATATATGTATGTCAAGCAAATAACAACAAAAGTTATGTACACTGAATTTTGCTATATTTAAAAATAATTATTTAGGATTGTGCACGTGTACATGCTCCTACTAGCAGCATTTAAATGACTGAATGCATGAATATGTGTACTTTGCCATGACAAATGTTTCTTACAATGTACTAATATGTGCACTTTTGACACAAAAATTAATTGTCTAAGAGCTGATGCCACACTTGGATGACTTAGTCTTCCTCTAATTTTGCTAAACACTGTAGTTGCATCTTAAAATCATTTCTTATTCAATAGCATAACCACTTCTGGCAATGAGTCTAGTAATTTTGAGTCTAGTAATATCTCATTTCTGCAGCTATTATTGTTACTCTGCAGAATATGTGAAGCTTTGGCATCAAGGATAATGTCCAGAGATGGAATAAACATAACGAGTTGTTTAAAAAATTCAATTAGTTATACAGTAAGTCCTCACTAATTCAGTTACAGTTAATCTGGATGTCAGACAATCCAGATCCAAATATGAAAGACGAAAAATTCTGTTCACAGTTGAGTACATATTTTAAGTCACACAGGATTTAGGAGCAACAGAGGTTAGAACAAGAAAACCCTTGGACTGTTCTGAGAGCAACTGGAGGAACTGAAATCACACAAGAAAATATCAAAGATTGGCTTCAGATAGATGAAAGAGCCCTTGGATTTCAGCTTCTGTCACAGGAAGAAATTGCTGCAGTAACATTTGTATTGATTTTCATGAGCACTATATATATTACTGAGAGCTGGGTTACCTCAGTCAATAAAGTGACTGGCTACGGGCTGTATGACAGAGGGGTTGGAGTTAGAGTAGTGGTAGGGTCAAGAATTTTCATTTCTTCATCTCGTCCAGACCAGATCTGGGGCCCATGCAGCCTTCTATACAATAGGTACCAGGGGCTCTTTCTCTGGGGATATAGCATCTGGGGCATAAAGCCAACCGCTCATTTCCTACTAGTGCCAAGGTCAAGAATACATCCACTCCTCCATACATCTTCATGGTGTAGTGCTTAATTAATTAAGCACACGGAAAACTTTACCTTCTTTTACTATATATATTACAAATTTTTCCATTTATTTATTTTCTAAGTTTTTGTCTTTTAGGGCTATCTTTTGCTTCAGTGGTCCAGATTATCACTTAATCTGGATGACCTCCCCCCCCCCAATTAATCTGGATTAGCAAGGGCTTATTGTGTATTATGTGGACCAACTAATGAATTGATGAAGCAGATATTTTCAGAAGCTAATTAGTCCCTCCAATAGTCAAAACATTCCCTGTCTTCTATAGGATCAGGTTCCTTATCATGTTAACAACAGCCCTTCCCTGAGACAAGTGAAATTTATTGATATTCTCCTATCATGTTTTTTAAGATCAATTTTAATACATATATGTCAGGTTCTTTCATGTGGCCCCTTTCCTTCAGGTTTTTGCAGCCAAAATTCTGGACATACATATTTAATTCAATGAAATGTGTAAAAATTATATCAAATGCAGGTGATATATAATCAGTGTGCATTTATATTTTATACATCATGTGCATCACTTACTATAGAAGAAACAAAGAAATGCTGGAAGAATGGAGGAACAGATTAAATGCAATCAATTCCATGGGTCAGAAAATAAAAAATATTGCAATATGCACATAAAAATTACAACCATATTCACCATCATAAACTGTGTTTCAACTTACAAGTTAATTAGCGGCCTCAGTAGTCTAGGGGTAACGTTCCCACCTCGTGACTCAAGGTACGCGGGTTCAAACCCGGCGGAGGTCGTGGAATTTTTAAGGGCAGAAAAATTCAGGGAACAAGTCCTCCGGGAGGGACTTTAAGCCGTGGGTCCTGTGTCGTAGCTTTACGGCACGTAAAAGAACCTCATGTCCCAAGGGGACCTCTGAGCCAAATTCAGGACATTTCCTGCCCAACAGTGGTCTCTAACGCCTCTGGTAGATGGGGGAAGCATCGAGATACCGCTGAGCCAGTAGAGGCCGAACTCGCTGGCTAAGTCGGGACTGATGGCATGCACCAGTACTGGTAGGATATAGAGACTGGTAGAATATCACAGGGGGATGCACAATGGACCAACAGTTGGTCTAAGTGCATGGGGAAACCCACCCTCTCCAATAACAACAACAACTTACAAGTTAACTAGCATCTTTTGCAAACCTCACTTTTCCAGCTACATTCAGGTAAAGCATGATGCTTTCAGCACTATCTAAAATAAACTGGAAAAAATTATCTGTTCTACTTACAGCAACGTGGTACATCATTTGTGTCCATATTGAGAACCTCTCCCACATTACAGTCAAAACCTCTTGAAATGTTTGATTTCAGTGCTCTAATAGGTGGACATAGGTTACCAATAGCTGATACATTGAGCAGGGGTTCAATCACAGCACTAGCATATGGCACTGACAGGTCAAATATTAAATTCAGTGTCGAGCCACAAAGATCATACAGCTGCGGTTGCCTCACAGCTGGTACAATGACCAGGACAAAGTCCATCTGCAAACATAGATTTCAGAGACATTGCAGTTAATTTCCAATAAGATGTTTTAATTGGATATGAAATGGACGGCACATTCATCTGTCTTTCATCATGGAATTCACTTTTCTTAAACACTACGTAGTATTCTTCTTACAAGTGTCATCTACAAATACTTCTATTATTTACACAAAGTTACAAATCCAACTTCAATATATGAAATTCACTCCATTTGTAACTTCCTTACAGTCTGTGTTGATAATGCTGTATATCATACTTTCTGCTATGATTTGTTCAAATTCCATCCTGCATTACTGATTATAAAAACAATATCAACAACTTTTATTCGTAATTAAGTGCAGAACACAGTTCTTCCAAAATACACTGCAAAATAATCCTTATTCTTATTCCAAAGGGTTCCGACAATGATGTGTGACACTCGGAATGACTAGCTTCAAGGACTCTGTTTATTGTCTGATGTTCTACAATTGGTCATAGCATTTTTGGAGCTGGATCTGCTGCAAAAATTTGAGTCATTTTAGAATACTTCACAATTATTAAGGTCCAGAAAACTATTAATACTAATGCAAATAAGATCTAAAAGTTTGTGATGATGGTAAATTGCTACAAATACTATGTTTTTTGGATATCATCCATGGATAATGTCCAAAAACATAGTACGTGTAATACTAATGAAGTTCACAATATCTATAGATCACATATCTGCATAATGATCTGATTTGATACAACCAATTTTCGATTAAGGACAGGATTAAAATTTAATATTGTTATTTTCAAAACTAAAAACAATTTATTCTACAAGTTAGTTTTCTAAAAAAAATCACACAAAAAAATGTACAACCAAGAAATTTATGTTAACAGCAGTCAATTTGTGAATATTATTATTAAAAATTGTTTTCTGTTTACAAGTCTTTTTAATTACTTAATATAGCTTACATAAATTCTTTTAACAGCTTTGAAAAGCATTTTAGAGCTTTAGTCTCACTCAAAAGTATATTGGAATGTTCATTGTATTATAAAGAATATAAATATTATTATTTTTTGCATATAAGGTTATGTTTGATTGTTTGCTGTAGTAATGGTTTAAGTCTGGAACAGTTAGTGATACTTTACCTGAAGAACATTTTCCTCAAGTAGCCTTGGTTTGGAATCAACAAAAGACACACTCATGTTAACATTGACAGCTGAACACCGTTGAGTCAAGACTTGATTGAGGCTTGTATAATACTGAGCTAGAAGATCTGAATATTGTGCCAGACAAGGCATTGCCACAGCTCCATTAGCTCGATACATTATAGATGCCACCACATGATAGTCAGCTTGCTGCGTATCTGGAAAAATTACCACAAGTATGGGCTAATGGAAGCAGAAATATCAGTAATCGTAAGCAGGTGTGATATTAGATATAAAATTGTACATATTGTAGCATGTAGACCAACTGCTAGGGAATGACAGCAAATAAGCAACTATACAATAGCTGTTGCTAAGGAATGGCTCTGTAAAATGCAGTGCAGTATGATGAGGTGAGGTGAGGTGAGGTGAGGTGAGGTGAGGTGAGGCGAGGCGAGGTGAGGTGAGGTGAGGTGAGGCGAGGCGAGGTGAGGTGAGGTGAGGTGAGGCGAGGCGAGGTGAGGTGAGGTGAGGTGAGGCGAGGCGAGGTGAGGTGAGGTGAGGTGAGGCGAGGCGAGGTGAGGTGAGGTGAGGTGAGGCGAGGCGAGGTGAGGTGAGGTGAGGTGAGGCGAGGCGAGGTGAGGTGAGGTGAGGTGAGGCGAGGCGAGGTGAGGTGAGGTGAGGTGAGGCGAGGCGAGGTGAGGTGAGGTGAGGTGAGGTGAGGTGAAAAGTGTTAAGGGTGGGAGGATTACCTAAGTGTAGTAAAGCAAAATGAGGGGAAAATGAGAACATGACATTACACATTCATAACTGTTAGTTTATTGTACAGTATGTTCCACTTTTCGTTTCTGTGCTGTGTTTTGTTTGAACGTGTTCATGTGTGTTATTTGTCTGTGGTCTTATTGTAGTAATGTGTATTATTTGTCTGTTGTCTTATTGTAGTAATGTGTGTTCTTTGTCTGTTGTCTTATTGTAGTAAGGTGTGGTCTTTGTCTGTTGTCTTATTGTAGTACCACTACCACCCAATTGAAACCAATCTGCAGTTAAATAATAATAATATAATTAATGGCCGTTGCTAGGTAATGGCTGCAGCGCACAGAAATAGAAGATATGTTGGAAGCAATGTTCTCTAGTCAGTCCATGCCAAGGTTATATAACAAGGGCCAGCTGCCTTTAGACAGACTCTTTGAGCCCTGAGGTGGCAGTGAGAAAGGTAGAAGGTTGGTGTGAGATGGCTGCCAGCCTTGGTGTTAGTGGAGTGGAGTTACTACATATATATATATATTGGTTTTTACTATTGACACAACAAATCAACCAAATAATTCACTCACAATCTTATCCTGTTAACTGTGCTTTTATTTTGGTTAAATTAAAATTTTGCTAGATATTTTGGCTTTTCATGAAGCCATCACCAGGCAATACATTTTACAGATGGTAATTATTGATTTTGTACCTTGTATATGAATCCATATATCACAATATTGTCCATTGTTATAATCGATTCCTCATGTCTGTTTGCACAGTATCACTGAAATTTTTTCATATGGGAATGTCTGGATTAACTACAATAACTTAGTATTGACTTTAAGATTAATTCAAAAATAAAACAAAATAATTAAAACTTTATGCAACTATAAATTAATGTTATATATGTTTGGTGGGGACCACTCCATTGTGACATTTTAGAATTCTAAAGTGGATAAGGCATTTATGTGAGTCCCTTTTTTGTATATTTATATGTTCAAGTACCTTTATGTTGCTGTTATACAAATTTATATGTGAATAAGTTATATTGTGCATAGCATCGCTTTGTTTGTTGTGTGTGATGTCATTAGATCAACTGGTCCTGGCTTGTTATGTCCTGATGAGGTCTTTGGATTTTTTTTCAATTGACCTAATCCTTCCTGCCACACTATGCCCTGGGGTTTACTCAGCCTCTAATAGAAATGAGTACCAGGAATTAATTAAATGATTTTCCTGGGGAGTGAAGCGCGGACGGCGCGTAAGGCTGACAACCTTACCGCCATCTTTGAGCCGATTTTCAAGATAATGTGGGACCCTTAATATCTCACAATCCTATGGGCCTTCACGGCCTGTTACATGGATAGCTTTACTTTTACTTATCACTTCTGGAGAGATCAGTTGCCATGACAAATTGATCCACTACCACAGCAGTTCTACACTGAGCTTCTTTATTGCCCCAGTGGCCTCAGAACATGGTCCCCTTCCAAGATCTATTCAGAATATGATCGTCTCACCTGACCCTCACAAAACTTATCCACTGAAGTGTTTAGCTGTGCTCACACCACCAGGTATGACCATAAGGTCTGTATTCACTGCATGAATCACAGATCTGAAATCTAGTGTCAAGTGACTTTTAAATGTCTCTAGTACACACATTCTTTGTTTTTCAACAAAATTCTTGGTGTCCTGTTCAAAACAAACTTGTAACCAGCCCCTCATCCGCCCATTTAGTCATCTATTTCTTAGTTTGATACCTGATTATTGCCTTAGGCAGCTACACTTCAGGCTTAGATATTTGATCAGTGTCAGATATGTTAGTAGGCGCTGTCTGCCAACTCTTTCAACATTACAGTCCCCCGAATGTTTTCACTGCCTCATGTGCATGCCAACAGATAATTCTTGGCATAATTTCCTGTTTCCATTGCTTCCACCTTCAGATGTGTGCCTCAGGGAACTCTGTATCATCCTGCTGCTTCACAGTTGTTTGTTCTACATGTTTAATTACCATAACCTTATATTACAATCATAACACAGTACGTAACTTATCTTTTCACAGTGTTCCCTTTCATGCCTCTACCTCTTTCCTTGTCATGATTTGCCATTTTTTGGAGGTACGCCTGTAACTGCACTGAATCTTGCATTATAAATTGGTGAATTACCTTGTATATTTCCAGACCTTCTACTTCAGGCAACCTTGTGAGAGCCCTTTGCTTCTGACCTTGGAACATAATTTATCACTCTCACTTTCATTCTTGCAGCTCTCATAGTGTGATGGCACAAATTATGCCATGAACATGCTAAAAGCTTAGAACTGATAGAAATTGTGTATTTGATGCTCACACATTTAGCTCTCAATTTCATGACAAGTGGTGTGTAATTTTGAAAAAGAAGGAAAAAGAACTCATCTTTCATTGAGACAAATATGATGCCTACCCCTTGTAAGAGAAAATCCTGATATGCAGATCGGTAGCAGTCATTAGAAAATTCCCACATTCAAGATTGAATAATGAATGTTCAAATCAATATCAAGATTTTATTTTTTGACATAATAAACAATCTGAAACTCACTCATATCTAATATTTAACACCCTACCTTCAGACACACAGTCAGGAACAACAGCTGTTGGTGTCCAAGGACTCTTCTCTTCACAGCTGAATGTTTTCACTGGTTCACCATCAGTAAATCTGTACAGTCATTAATTAGTTTGCATCATAATAATACATGTATCTCATTAATAATTTTACAGGAGAGAATTCTTTAAAAGCATTTTTCAATTATGTGGATTAATTATAGAAGGAACGAGCACAAATAATGGTGGCAGTGGTGGTGGTGGTGGTGGCGGTAGCGGTGGCGGTGGCAGCGATGATGATGATGGGGTGGAGGACGACGATGACAACGATGATGAATATAAAGCCAATATGAAGCAAATGAACAGTAGCATAAGAGGTCTGACATTAAATTTTTGCACACATGCCACAGTGTGCTTGCTGTGGCAGCAGTGAACATAAACCTAAGTATAATTTGATGACGCTGGCATACTAAGTTTACTATTTGGAAGTACTCAAAAAGCTGTGTGAAAAAGTTAAGATGGAAACGACCCAGATGTTTTGCCAACAGCTCATGGATTTTGCATCATGACAATGCACCTGCTCACATTGCACTGTCTGTGAGGGATTTTTTAGCTAGTAAACAAATAAATGTGCTGCAACACCCTCTCTATTCACTGGATCTAGCCCTAAGTGACTTTTTACTGTTCCCAAAGATAAAGAAAGTGCTGAAAGGAAGGCATTTTGATGACAATGTTGACATCAGGAGTAACACAATGGCAGCTCTGAAGGCCATTAAACAAAACCATTTCCAAAATTGTTTTGTAGGGTGGGCTAGGCATGGCATGGCTTTCCAAGGGGAGTACTCTGAAGGTGACAACAGTGATATTCAGAAATGAGGTATGTACCACTTTCACCAGGACGAGCTTGTGAACTTTATTGCAGACCACGGAAAATGAATGGTGAAAATAAAAAACTTCTTTACTATATTATTCTACTGCTCCAAGTTCAGCATTGGAGCTAAGATGGAGTTTCGTGCAGAATTATTAGAGACTTCATTCTTACTGGATAATTTCTAATCCTACAGATAACTTACTTTTATGTTAGGCATTTCATTTTATCTGTGGAAGAAATATTAATTAAATACAGAATTTGTCTCCATTATCTCATTCCTCCAACTGCTTCATATTTTTTAATCATCTGATGCTATATATTCTTGATGCTGACATCGTTGTTAAATAACCAAATCAAAAAATATATTAAATTCTTTGATACAACATCAAAGTTTTGCATGTTGCTCTATATGTAACTGCTAACTTATGAAACAATTAAATACAGGGTATGAAGGTATTTTTGTTGTCTATTACCATAAAAAATTTCATGCTTTTACCTCTAATGGTTCATGAGCTATCAACTTGAATGCTAAAGGAAATTTCTGCACAGCTGTCACATTGTTTTACATTACATACAAAGAAAAAATTAACTTAAATGTTTCATACTTTTTGAACATCTATTATTATACATTCTATCAGGAACCCACATTAAATGGCTCACATTGCTTCCACTTCACAAGTTCATGCATCTGCTGTGTTGTTATTATTTACTGTAAAAAATTAAAAGTTATGGTGGTGGAATAGCCTGTAACTTTCATATCAAGTTTTGTGAAAACTGGTCAACTGGTTCAAATTTGGAAGTGGAGGTTCACAGATAGACACACTCACACCAAATCATTATGGTATAAGTAAGTTACAAATCTTAAACACAAGACTAAAGAAATATCATTAATCTTTATAAGCTTCAAATTTTAGAATTTTACCTGAAACCTGGGCTACAAGTAGCAATACACTGCAGTCCTTTTTCTCCTGGCAAACAGTTGAGTGCACCATTTGCAGGTGGATGTAATTCCCAGTCTACACAAGGTGTTGCCTGCACTGCTACCTATAAAAATCATGGCACTCTTATAAACAGCACTAAGTGAAACACTTTGCTACTTACATAACACATTGTTAACAAAAAATGACCATAATCTTGCTGTGTGCTACACAGACATATGAATATTCCATAGATTTTATTACTTTGTCACAAATCTCAACATATTCCACTGGACTACAAGATTTTTCATGGTAAACAGGAAGATATGACCATCTAAAGTAATTATTTGTAATTATTTATGACTCATTTAATGAGAGGTAATAGCTTTTTTTAATACATATGCCAATCTTCTAACAGACTGCTTTAGCACATATCAGGAATTCTTCTTTACATAATTTCTGTATGCTGAAATATGACACTGAACATTACCTGATCCAAAATAAATAATAATGTTGCACCATATTACTAACAGAAGAAAAATTACGGTAAAGACCTTATGCCTTATTATTATTTTCTGCTTATTTCCAATATTAAGCATAAAATACTTCAGTTCACCTGCATTTATTGGGTTAATATGTTAGGGAGGACTGTCAGCAAGAAGAATAACATGTTATACATAAAAAACTTAGCAAGTGAAGCAAATTAGGAAGCAATTAGTAACAAAATGGTGACTGCAGCAGTCACATTTATTCATTATCACAGTTCACACAGTTCAATAGTTCATGCAGAATGGTAAATATTTTCTAAAATTAGATGTAACATGTTTCATACATGAATTAACAGAATTATTGCTACTAATAAATTATTTTTAATACTGAAAATTGAAATTTTATTAAATTTATGGTATTTAAAGTTGAAACACACAGCCAACTCAAAACTTCATACATTAAAAATTATGTTACATAATTAAACTTGACACTATATATTGTAGACCTGAAGACAGTTCACTAAAAATATTACCTGGAAGTGGCATGTTGCTTGGTTACCAGATCTATCTGTAGCCACAACTGTCACATTCTCAAAACCTCCTATGGGTATGGTTGCTCGCTCAGGAATGAAATGAATTCTCACATCACCAGATGCATCCGAAGCATTAACGCGTCTTCGTGTATCATTGAAGTTGACAGCATAACTCTCCTGTCGGTCTACCAGCTCAATAACATAGCTCTGAGGGCAGCTCAGCAAAGGTGGGGTATCATCTGAAAAACAGATGCTCTATTAGTGTATATTTATGAAAGATTTTATAATTATGTGTAATACTAGGGGATCCAATTTTCACACTCCGAATCCAGTCACAATATTAACAGCAAAATTTAAAAATAGAGGTTTTGGGGAGCTTTTCTAAATAAGCATTTTTCACTTAAATAATTGCAACCCTTGGTGGATCCACCCACTGGCAGGATTAGTACTAACTACAAACAGGGTGCACATACTTATAATCTCACCCAGCACAATTATGATTTTATTGGGCTGACAGACATTACCTTTCTTTCTTTGTTAAAGTTACGAACAGCTCCTAATGCTGAGGGCAAACAACATTTAAAAGTCAGTATGAACTTCAGTAACACCTAAGTGACATACTCTACTCATTACCTGAGCTTCTCTTTTTGATTTGTAAATGTAACACTAGGTAGTTTCTTGAACTTACCAGGTACTGTAATATTTATTTCACAGATGGCTACATTTCCATCATAGTCAAATGCCACATACTTGACCACCATATTGTGGAACACTTGGATTGGGGTACGGAAGCTCTGAGGTTTTACCTCAAGACGGGCTATGCTACCACTGTTGTCAACTGCAATTGGTTCTGTGAAGTTCACTGGTTCTAAACCATGTGGACCTTTCTGAACAATAATGGGTTGCTGGGGGCAGTTCTGGAACACTGGTGGTTCGTTATCTAGAAAAATCAGATGCAGCAATTTAAAGCTTTGCTTGTCATAGCAGTGGTATTTTGATGGCAATGATGACTTTACTGAAGAAACAAAATGTAATTAATTTCTTATGGCTGCCATTACCAAAGTTAATGATAATATCTGAGAATTCTTAGGCCCAAAATTTTCACTGGATAAACACTGAAATTTCAGAGGCTAAACTTAGTGAGAGAACATGATGGATTTTACTCATACTTTACTTTGATACACAACACGGAACAACTCTCCTATGTAATTTTTTCAGCCATAGGAACATAACATATAGTAGTTTGTAGTAGTCTGAATTGCACTAATTTTAAAAAATTAGCATTCATAGCTCTTTATGCCACTTATTTTCATCTGTTGCTTTCTTTACTTCACATGAAAACTAGTCACAGAGCTCTGAGGCTAACATACACTAGCCTTAACATAGTAGTAAAGAATATCTTCTACATTTTCATAGTTTCTTTTAGTGTGTTTTACTTATATTTAAAAAATAATTTAAAATTATAACTCATTTTAAAGCAGGAAACACTACATTTTCACTTACCAACACAGGGTGAATATCCATAATCATAGCCCAGCAGGGGTTCCACACCAGGTTCCTCACATCCCATTAGCTCAAACTTCAGACAAGCATTGTCCATGTAGCTTACAATACCTGAACCAAACATTTTTCACTTACCTATCTAAAGACAAATATTTTCAGATGCTAGTTTTTCTTTCTTTGATTGTTAGTTATTCACACAGTTAATTACACTTAAATAATTATGAAAATTGCTCAACAGCCAGTGAACACCACTTACCCTTGTAGTTGTATCAAAGTCACTCATTCATTGTTAAGTTATAGAGCTTTCATGCAACAAGTGAACAAACAAATAAACAAGGGATCAGATTTAACCACTGTTCCACATTTGGTGTGGGGTTGCATCAGAAAAACATCTAAAGATATACACGTTAATACTGAGAGTAAAAGAAAAACAATTATCTAAAAAAATGCTTTCCTATCCCAAATTTTAATTTGATATGTCTTATTTACAAGATGTATATAAATCTTGAATGACAATTTTATTGATTTGCACTTACCTAGAATAACAAATCTTGCTTGTACATATTTTGGCAAGGTGATCATGGCTAGTTCACCATAGTTTCCTGGATCCCGCATTGTTAGATTGAAATTGGGAAAGTATACAACATAGTTTTCGCTCTCTGCCTGTTTGTAGAAGAAACGGATCTCAGTGGGGCGGCCCACAATATCATTTGTTACGACTCCTTTTACTAGAATTGCCTTCACTCTGAACACTTGGCCCAGATCAACACTCACATATGTGAATGCTTCTTGTTTGCCACACCATCCTGTGACTGAATTCAGACGCACATTACGAGCCTCATAGTTTGGCCTAGAAGGGAAAAATCTGTGTTATACTTAATGTAGAAAAATGTGGTATGCTGGTTGAACATATCTCACAGTCAAGGCCATAGATTATATCAAAACATTAAGACAGTACAACAATTTACCATTCAATTTTGAGAACAAAGAACTAGGGAGTTTTGAAGTTTGAAATACTGAAATTAAAAATTACATTAAAAGACTATACTTATAACTTTCCTAACATTCATTTGTAATTGAACTTTTCTTTTGCCAGATTTAAATCCTTCCTTTAGCCACTCACAGCCTGTAATAAATGATGAAATTTTAATTAAAAATATGTCCCCTTTTTCTAAAAACATAACTTACCCAACACTAACAAAGATAAAAATATCTCCTCCAGCTTGGGGGTTGGGCGTGGGGCTATCAACTCCCCACCATAAAAAAAAAGCCTGTTACGAAAATGTACACAAAGCCTCGGATCTGGACAGATCCTCTGGAAGAATGACCTAGGCTAAAGAAAATGGACATGAGATACGGTACTTGGAATGTTAGAAGTATGTATAGAGCAGGTTAGCTCAGGGCAGTGATGGAAGAAGTCTCAAAATATAAGTTAGATTTAGTGTGAGTACAGGAGGTCAGATGGGACGGAGATGGCATTGAACCAGCAGGCAAATACATGTTTTTCTATGGAAAGGGGAATGAAAATCATGAATTAGGTACAGGTTTTGTCATACATAACAGAATTGTATCAGCAGTTAAGAGGGTAGAGGTCCTTAGTGATAGATATCATATATAATACAATAAGGTCGCTGGTGTGATATCATCGTTATGAATGTTCATGAGACCAACAGAAGATAAAATTGATGACAGAAGGGACAGGTTCTATGAAGAATTAGAACAATGTATTTGATAAATTCCAGAAGTACCCTATGAAAATTTTGTTACGAGATTTCAATGCCAAAGTAGTGAGGGAAGACATTTGCAAACCAAAGATTGGAAATGAGAGTTTGCATGAAATTAGCAATGAGAATGGAGTTAGAGTAGTAAACTTTGCCACATCAAAAGATCTTACTGTCAAAAGTACAATGTTCCCACATCGTAACATCCATAAATTTACTTGGAACATCTCCTGATGGGACAAATGCCTGAACCGGGGTGGTGACTATGTGGAAAAATAGTCAAAGGTACTTAGAACACTCCATGTATTTTGATTTCCCTGTATGTGTATTATTATGGCTGAAAAAAATAGGGGCAAAGACTTTCCAATTTGCCCTCATATTAAATTAAAAAATATTTTTACCACCCACTTCATGTTTCTTACGTGTCTACGATGGGTTTTGCCATATACAGCCATCTTCAGGTATATGACTTCTGTCAAATATTTCACTTCACTTGCCACTTTCAAACAGATGACAGTATAAAATATATAAAGGCTCTATGTCCAAGATGAACCATGTTAGTATAAATTATCCTAAATGTAGTGGTATTTATGTTGCTGTTGGCACTACTGTCCTTTCGCTATGCATCGTTATGCAAGGTTTCCATCTTATCATTTCTGCACAGGTTTGATGTTGCTAGGTCTGTTCCAACATCGCTGCCTTGCCATTTCTGTTTGCATCAAAGAAGAGCAACATCCATTGATCTGGTTTTTGTGGTCAGAAAGTGTATCAGAGGCCGCAATCCATCAAAGAATTTCAGCACAATACAGGAACAGTGTTTTGCTCCCAAAGGAGTGTCTATGAATGGACTGAAATATTGAAGAGTCACATGAGTGTTATGCCCAAGGAAGCAGCCAGATGCCGATCCATGGCCACAAATGAGAAGAACACTGAGTATGGATGTAGCATGATTTTGTTAGGCAGACGAGTGACTATTGATGAAATTGCAATCATCTGCAAATTAGTCATGGTTCTGCCTATGAAATCATCCACAAGAGACTTGGGTTTCATAAAATCTGTGTAAACGAGTCCCAAAATAAGTCACATTATTGCATAAACAAACATGCTCAGACATCTGCCAACAACATTTGAATTGCTTTGGTAACAAATATGACGCCTTCTTATACAGAATCATCACTGGTGATGAAACATGGATCCATCATAGTGAGCCGGAGAGTAATCAGCAGGGTACGGAATGAAACATCCACATTCACCCAGCAAGAAAAAATTCAAAAGCCAACCATCCACAGGAAAACTGATGCTTACAGTTTTTGAGATTCACAAGGCTCAGTACTGGAACATTATTAAGAGAGGAGCACAGAGTAAACAGTGTTCATTACAGTGAGACTCTTACTGACTGGCTAAATCCTGCAATTCAAAGCAAATGCCAAGGACTACTGTCGAAGGGTGTCGTGTTGTTGCACGACAATGCCTGTCCACATACTCCTGCCCAGATTGCTGAAACCCTCTGGAAACTCAAGTTTGATGTAATGGCCCATCCTCTGTATAGTCCTGACCTCACCCCTTCTGACTATCACTTGTTTGGTGCACTCAGAGAGACATTAATGCCGATTCACCTCGGACCAAGAAGTGAAGGAAGCGGTGCATGTGTGGCTTGCTGCTAAGCTGAGAACCCTAGTTTCTGAGAGCATAAGGAAGATAGACTAAGTGTGTTGAAAAGCAAGGGGACTATGCTGAAAAATTATGTTAACGTAAGTCTCCTATTTGTATTGAAATAAAGTTTTTAGCTACATTGTGCATAATTATATCATAATATAAAGAAAATATATTGTTTTCTGTGTCATTTGCTTTCAGTCTTTTTCACTTCTGAAACAATGTTGAGTGTGGACAAGATAAGGTTGAAAAAGTAGATTTCTGTAATGCAGATACTAACCTGAAATTAACTATGATGGACGCGAATAGTTGTGGTATCATAACACTCATTTTTCACATAAGGTTATTGATTTAAATCAGCCCTGTCCAATGCGGCGCCCGTGGTATATTTTTCTGGCGCCCTCCGTAACCACATATAATTGAGCCGATTTTTAATATTAATTTAAATTGTAAGACAAGAGACATTTTTTAATGTCTGAGTACTGTTAAATATTTTTTAAAAATTGTATTATTATTAGTAGTAGTAGTAGTAGTAGTAGTAGTAGTAGTTAGTAGTAGTAGTAGTAGTAGTAGTAGTAGTAGTAGTAGTAGTGATGGTGGTGGCGCCTGCACCTCCGTAGGCATCAGTGAATTGTGCCCAAGTACATAAGAACGTTGGACAGCACTGATTTAAATGGATATAAATTGTAGAAGTACACGAAAAGGGAGTAAACAATCCCCTGAGAAGACCTGCCCAAATTCAGCTTTGCTGCTTTCAGCCACAAGAAGAGGAGTCTTGGATTGCTTGTAATCTGTGAAGACTTTCAAGACTGAGATTTAATGCTGTTTATGTTGACAGTACAGAAGTTAATTTGTTTTTATGCCTCCAAGTCCATTCATCCAGAACAGTTTACTCTAAACTCTAAACAATCATTTTAAGTTTGGCTAGAGCAAAGAAGAGAGGCTAAAAACATGTAAGTATTTAAGCTGGGATCACGCAGCTGGTATAGTGACTGACTAGAGGCTGGATGACAAGAGGGGTCAGAGTTTGAGCCCTGGTAGGTTCAAGAATTTTCTCTTCTCCACATCATCCAGACCAGATCTGAGACTCACCCATCCTCCTATTCAGTGGGTACCAAGAGTCTCTTTCCCCAGAGGCATAGCTGGGACATGAAACTGACCACTCACCTCCAACTAGTTCCGAGGCTAAGAGAATATGGATCTCTATGTCCATTTACCCATATGTTTTCATGGTGTATTCAGTTAAGCACAAGGACAAATTTACTAACTTTACTTTACTGACCTCTTATAATAATTTCTACACCAAACAGCCCTTTATGACAATCCAAGTGAATATAGCTAAAGCAGTAATTTATGCGTTCTGTTCAAGCATTAAAATCCCTCCTTTTTGAACTGGTTACAGAGCAGCTATCCTATGGCTGTCAGTAAAAATTTGTAAGCAGTTTGATGCACTGCACAGTTAAAATTTGATGTATCTATTTGTTCCTCCAGGTAGTGAATAAAATGGCAGGGTTTTTTTTTTTTTACAGTTTCTTAAGATTTAATGATATTTCTCAAGTATATCATTTTACTTTACTTTACCCAACCTTATATTTCATTTGTCTCACCTCTCAGATGTAGCATTTATGGCTGAATCAGGGATAGCACCAGAAGTAAGTCCCAGTGGTTTGACTACCTTACATTCAGGCTCTCGAATACATGTAATTGGACGAGGATTAATGAGTATGTAGCCAGGACGATTGCAGCCAAATTCTACCTCTGAGCCTTGTTCATAACTACGTGCAATTTGGAACCCATCTGTTGGTCGTCCAGGATCAGCACAAACTGGCCCTTCGCATCGCAGGTCACCAAAATCCCATATAGCATTTGCTTGGCACCTGAACAAATATAAAAACAATTTATTTAAATTATGGGAATGCAGTGTAATAGGAAACACTAACTGATCATTCCTGTATGTTACAACCCTTAGAGAGTCAAAGATTTTTAGATTAGTGGAAACATTTTGTGCAATATAGTCAGTTTTGGACAGAATTATAACAATTATTATTGAACATTTTGATTCAAGTCCTAAATACTGTAGTGCTACTTAGGTGTTTAGACTTGGATATCAAAAACATTAGCATACTGAAGGGAAATTGTTACAGTTATATCTGGACAACTTTTCACAAAGAATTTTATCCCACAATTTAATACTGTAATTTTTTTACAGTTATTACACCATTCCATATATTCATTAGAAGTTAAACTATTTCATTGATAATGCTTGATTTCAGATGAACGAATCTTCACTGCAATAGAAACCTTAAATCTTTTATAGTGAAAAGAACAGTTTCCCTAGCAGATTCCAAAGGGGTCTGACAGTGGTGTACAAGACAGAATTACTAGTTTTCTGGCTCTGTCCATCATCCAGTAGTCTGTAGTTTTTAGAATACCAGATGGTGGCTGAAGTCCAAAAACCAAGTAATTCTGACTTGCGCTAGTGCTTTGAGTGTGTGGGGGGCAAGGGGAGGGGGAAACAGTAGCTGATGAAAACTAATCCTGATATGCAGTGTGTGATGCCACTAACCATTGGCCTAAACATCTTGTTGCTAATCCCCCCCAGACACACAGGACAGCAGTAAAAAGAGAAGAAAATTTAAACTCCTAGTCCACTGTTTAATGACTTCCGCTACTGTTTGGAGCACAGGAAAGGAGATGGTCCCCTTGATTACTACAGGTTAGCATGTCGATCAACACATAGATAGATATCAGCCAGCAGATTACCTCCACCGTTGCTTGATTCTGCATTATGCATTACAAAGGTAAATTTTACATGGTGCAGAGGCCTGAGAATTATTAATCCTCCAAGAATTAATAAGTACGAATAAAAAGTCTGAACCTCTGAACTGGTGAACTTTCTGGGTATTATAAAAGACTGACCTGGTTTGTTGGAATTTTATGATTGCCTTACAACATCTGATCTGATTACACTCTGTTAGTCACCAGACTTATGAAGCTGTCACTGCAGTTATATTACATCATGTTACTTAACACGGTCCACTTCAGTTGCAGTGTTATATTGCAACCACATTTTTTTTAAATTAACACACCAAAAAATTTTGTAGTGCACCACTCTGTGCTATGGTGCATTTGCTGTTACTACTTTGCATAAAATATTCGCCATATGTGCAAGTTAATTCAAGATGTCTGTAAAAGGTGATATATGGTGTGACATGAGTTCATCACGCATAATTATATACTGATTATTAAGTGAACTTGAACAATACCGTATTTACGCATGTATAGGCCACGTGCGTGTATAGGCTGCAGCACAATTTTCAGACAGAAATTATAGGAAAAATAATTTTCTTGGAATATTATTTCAGGAGTATTACACCCTGTATTACTAATTATGACTATAATTTTTTTTAAATGAAGTGTGATTTCGAATATTTCGAATATAAGCCGCACCCCAGTTTTCCTCTTGAATTTTTGGCAAAAAATGTGCGGCCTATATATTCGTAAATACGGTATATACGAACCTAAACCTGCTACACTTTTTTCTACAATGAAAAATGATTCAGTGTTAGTAGCAACAAAAGTCCTAAGCCAGCCATGTCAAACATGCGGCCCTCATAGCCACAAAGTGCGGCCCCTCAACTTTTAGAGCTAAATGATATTAAAATCAATATTAAAATTTTAGTAGAAATATTTTTTGTAAAGACAATTTTCCAACAGACCAGAAGACAAGAAGTCTCACGCAGACATAAATTAACAGGCTGCAGGAAATTCAATGTTTTGCTATTTCTAACATAACTTTTTGTGTAATCTCTCTTTTTACATTTTGAAAAGATATTTGATACTTGTCAAAAATGGCATTCTCTTGCTTTTTAAAACTGTAAGATATGTGACTTTGGGTAATTATATTGAAACTATTCCTAAATAATAAATAGAATTAAATTTCCTTGTATCAAAATCTAATGTATATTTCCATTTTGAAGTGTGGCCCTGGACTATTATTTATAGAGCTGAGGTGGCCCTCTGTACAAGTTGAGTTTGACATGCCTGTTCTAAGTGAATGAGCAATAAAATATGAATTACAGTCTTTTGTTTAATCACTGGCAAACACAAGGCCAAAGTATAAATACAAACCACTCGGTCCAATGTGACATATAAGTTTTTACCACATGAAAGCTTATCTCCCTTACATGTTTCGGTCCGTACGGACCATCTTCAGAGGGAACATCATTACGAACTGGAAACTACCATCACAATAGGTGTATATATTTTAAATCAAAAACACCTATTGTGATGGTAGTTTCCAGTTCGTAATGATGTTCCCTCTGAAGATGGTCCGTACGGACCGAAACATGTAAGGGAGATAAGCTTTCATGTGGTAAAAACTTATGTGTCACATTGGACGGAGTGGTTTGTATTTATAATTGTTAGTGTGATGGACCAGAACAAAACAAATAAAAAAAAAAAAAGGCCAAAGCTTATCCTGACTGTTCTTTCACATCAAGTGAAGAATATGACCTTTAAGAAGATCTTCAGGTACATGAATAATGTATTTAAAGTGAAACAATGACAATTAAGATAAATCCTACATGACAAGTTTAGTTATTCTCGTAGAGTCTCTCTCATAGAGTGCTATGGTAATCAGACCTGCTTAACATGGGCAAATCTGATGAACCTCTTTGAAAGTCCATCAAGTCAATAAGAAGTAAACGTGATGGATCTACCACCGATACTCATCTACATTTCATTTCCATATGAAAATATTTAACCCCTTAAAATATACACAAGTTATTTTTATTAAATAATTACACTTGGTCTCTCACCTAACAACGTTATCATGATGGTTGGTCTGGCCAGCCAATTTGAAGGTATCTTGGCAACCAAAAAAGAAGGATGACTGATATTTGGTGTCCAGATATTTTCCATATTCAGCTCCAGGAGTAGGTTGTGGCACACCACAGTTAACTCGAGGGCAGGCTGGAGGCAAACCTGACAGCCAGTAATCAGGCAGACCCTGCACCATGAAATATAGCTGTAAAATTCTCCATAAACAGTGTTTACAAGAAAGTTTCATCAAAATGAAACTTTATCAACCTCATTTATTTGCTCTTCCTAAATATGATTTAACTGATTTATAAATTTAAAATAAACAATCCTTCCTAATGCTCTTCCTAACAAACACAATCAATACACTGCACTGCATGGCTTAGACCATGACTCTCAACACAGCTGCATGAATTTACATCTTCATGCAACTTCATCATATATCTGCGGAATGTCTAACAAATATGTGACATACTGTGAAATTTTTATTAAATTATACATTATTCTAATCAGTTATGAGTGCTCTGTATTATTAAGAACGATTATTTACACTTCAAAAATTCTTATGCTTTTACTCACAGGCTTCGGATCATAAACACACTGGCGGAAACTTGAAGTAGCAGTCTTCCTGAGAATACGTCCAGTACTGCTACATGTAAGACTCACATTCTCTCTGAATGGTACTAAAACATTTGTTGAATCAAGGCGTACCACCTCTAAGCCATTTGATTTGTCGTTTGGTAAGGATACACATTTAGCATCTATGGGAGGCATAAAACATCACTGATGTTACTACCAAGAAGTCCATATTCAAATAATACTTACTAAATAGATTAAGTAATAAAAAATACTTATTGCAAGTACGAAATGTAATTCTGTTTTACAAGCTACTCTTCTATGTCTATTATATTTGTTATGGGTATAGGGCAATTGGTTATACAATTCTTTTACAATGAATATTCATCAGATCTGATTCAGACATATTTCTCATACTGAAAACTGAAGGTCTAAAATCTGAAGATTTATATCTGAATTGTTCTTGTCAATTTTTCTTTGTTTTATGTCTTCTACACTTCACATGTTACTTATAAGTAAGATAGCTTCATCTCTCAGTGAATTATAAAGACATAAACTTACAATGACACTCAGGCACTGTGCCATTCCAGGCTCCAGCTGAAGTGCAGAGCAGAGTGGCTGAGCCAGACATGACATAACCAAAATTACACTGGAAGCCCACCAGATCACCAAAATGGTACATTTCCTGTAACAGTGTATGTATTACTCTTTTGAACATTAAAAGGCATATTAAAATATTTTAATGGTAAATAATAAAATTGCTCCTATAACTGTGCTCAACCTCTTTTAATTACTAGATATTAACAGTGTTTGAATACCTTGAAAATATTGGCATGGAGACAAGAGAAAGAGAAAGTGAATGTAAGTGAATCTTAGATTATCTCAGGTGACCCTAATCAGAGGTACTTACATTACACAGAGTGAACTGGCCTCTTCTCCTACGCATGCACGCACATGAGCACATGCACACACATGTGCACAGGCACACATATGGATATCTAAAATATATTTTTAATATACAATGTATCAAATTTTGTATGATCCTTTAGGATTTTTTTTATTTTTCCTTGTATTCAGATTCAGCATTGTCAGAAAAATTAAAAGAAAGAAATCACTACAGAGACCTAGTCATAGGTGGAAGCATAATATTAAAACTAATCTTAAAGCAATACCTTTGGCTTTCATAATAGGCAGGAGATTTTTGCCCTGAGCAACTACTAGCTTTTCAGAAAAAATAAATCTGCTCCATGGAGTTAGTTCACTTAATTAATTTTAGACCTAATGCACAAACTGTGATGTTTAATACAATGGATGAAGAAAATCATAACTTGTGGGGAAACTTGAGACAATGAGCCCAAACCCCCAAAGAAACAGAACATTAGGATAGAAGCTGTGCTTTTGCATCCACAGCCGATAGTAACATATTTATTGTGTAAAAATAAATATTTATGCAATTATTCTGAAGTGTACCTTGGTTGAGAGAACCAGTCCATTTTCAGGTCCCTGCAGTGGAGGGCACATAACAGGTACACAAGTCTTATTTCTCTGAAAAATGTCATCATCTCTCTCACCACTCTCTGATGGTGCAACTGAGAAGCCTGCAGTACCATTTTGCAGGAACAGCTCAAAACCCACATTGCATCCACAAGAGTAATTACCAGGACTGGAATTATACAAGATTGGAATGGGTTTACTCCATAATGTAGTACACAAAATTATCAAGTCTTCTTTGAGGTTTATTAAGCATACTTCAAAACTGGAATAATGAAATCCAAAATTTTGAAAGTATCCTATATCAGCTTTCAATAAATTCTGTGGAAGTGTTCATGGGTTATCTTGAAAATATCAAAATTGCACTGCAAATTTGAAGAGCCATTTTCATCCCTGTTTGAAAGATCTACTGCCGCCTTGTAATGCTGTATCAGTTACTTCAATCTTGCCATTGTGTCAATATTGTAACTGAATTGCAAAATATCTTCCAAATACCAATAGAATACAATGGATCTCTGAGATGCATAACACTGTTGTCTGCAAGGGATATTTTATATGCAAATGTCTAGATAAATCTTTATGCTTTAGATACATTTAAATTTCAGGTGTTGTTGTCTGTGGAACATATTATAATCCCTTACCTCAGGAATGGCAGAACTTCATACAAAATAAATAGTCCATTAATAGATTTATAAACTTCACTAACATTTTTAAATTTCCGCCAGGTTACAAAAGTAGACATATTAATTGTCAATTTAATTGCTAATCCACAGCATCTGTGAGCTTATTGCCTAGAAAATGTGGGGGTCTCGACATCTCCAATCCTACTGGCCTCCATGGCCTGTTAAAGGGATAGCTGTAACTTTTTTTAATGCTTACCCATTGACACACTTCTGGTCGCAGCCACCATTGTTAACTTTGCATTCATTAATATCAGTACATTCAAGTCGTGTGCAGCCCATTACTTCCAATCTTAAACATGGTGCACCGATATAATCCTACAGAAACATGAAACAAAACACGAGTCACCTTCACTGTAATCTATTTCATAAAAATATAGAAAATCACACCTACAAATAAGATCAAAACTTTTATCACTCAGAACAAACCTGGATTCGAAAACGAACAAACTGTGCCTCAATGGGCACAGGTAGATTCAACACAGAAAGACTTGGTTCTAGGATACGAAACTCTACTGGTGTTCCATCTGGGTTCGTGTAGTCACGGAATAAGTCTGTTAGATTATCGGTGTACTGGATGGGGAAAACAAATACACATAATTAGGTGCTTACATTTATGACAAACTTCAGAAGCTTATAAAATAACTAACACTATTAACCTCACCATGGTGCTAAAGTTCAACATATTATGCTGTAACAACAGTAAGATTTGTTATAAAAGCAATTATCTCCTCTAAAGAAGAATTTCTTTACCAGGCAGTATCTTATTATATTATCATGCATTAGCTTCATATCTCGAGCTTGTATGTTTACGGTAGATTCTTGTTCATCATTAATCTGGAACGTGCAATTATTCACTACACAACTTTGCTCCATGATAATATATGACATTTACTTTTGGTAAGTCCTTTTACTGAATCTCATAGTCAGTCATCTTCCCTCAGTCCTAACAGAAGTTGCTGTAACATTAATATACACGGAGAAAGCAGTCTTTTGGGATTTGGCACCGTGTATAAGTGGTGTTAACCGACGTTTCGGAGGAACNACATTACATATGGTTGTATATTTATATATTTAACAACACTGTGTTAAGTGCTGAGGTTACATTTTGACAAGTGCAAAATGTCCATGATAATAACAGAACTGATAAGGATGTGGGATAAAGCAATCATAGTATATATTAACGTACCATATCACCCCCATCTAAGCATAAAAAATTTAATATACCATATGGAATTCATTTATAGAGACCAAGGATAACAGCAAAAGAAGCCTCAGTAAAGTTACCCGATCTCTCCACCATGCTTCAACTGGGGACCACCCAAATGCAAACAGGAATGCTAACCTCTATGCTGTACAATTTGTCAACAGAAACTGAAAACTGAAGATTTGACTGACTATGGTTGTAACACACTGATAAAATTCTTACTCTCTCAAGTTATCTCTGAGTTTATACAAATACTAATAAATAATGATCACATATTTATAAAAATGAAGTATATGTAAATGTAAATGTAAATGTATGACCTTAGTCCACTGGTGAACAAAAGATCCTGTGTCTGCATGAAGACTTTTCAGACTAATATAAAACACACATTTAGGTCAATGTACTTTAAAGCTCATTATTTTCTATCACAATCTAAATGAAAATAAAATGTACTAATGTGCTCCTCTGCAATACCTTACACATGGAAATATGGTGGAAATGCAGCAGAATGAGTATGGCTTCAAACGAAATTTAATTTAACAAGTACTTTATTACATTGACAAAATCGTCACAATCAATTTGTTAATATAACATATGTGAAAGAAAAACTCATAAAAGAAGAGGTCTTTTCAGGCATTTTGATCATAGCAAGAGATTCAGAGACAGATGTGATTTCTCTTCCACAGTTTTTTGGCATAAATTGGAATTTTAGGTTTCCAAAACTATTGCTAGTGCCTTGTGTCTGAGGATTTTACACTCCAGAATCTGAGGAGAGAATTTTTACGATTCTGAGGGAGAGGTCCTTAACACACAGAGAATTCATAGTCAAAATCAATCACTCACAACTGTACAGATAAAAGATTTTATGGACATGAACTCTCAGTTCAGGTAATATTAGAGACACTGAAAATTAGTATTCTTCATTACTTTCATTTCTTCATAACTACTTCAAAAACAAAGGAAATGTATGCACAGTATAACAATTTTGATATGTCTATCCTGTTGTTCACTTAAATAGCAGAAGATCTATTTTGAACAAGTATATCAAGAACCAATAAAGCTTATAGGGAGAGTACATTGGGCATATAAAATATAATTTTTTTGACAACATTTGGCCTAAACAATTTTTATTCTGATAAATATTAAATAATTTATGTTCAAAATGTGGAAATGCATTTTTATCTGAGAGTAAATTGTTCATTACTTTCATCCATTTCTAATTGAAACTGAGGTGTGTTAGTATACCTCTCAATTGTCAAATTTCATTAGAACTTTGTAACAGTTCTCAAGTTATTACATGCATACAGATGAATGGTAGACAAACATGGAGGAGCTAATAAGCACATTTTCACAGCTTCTCACTGTTAATGCATAAAAAAAGATTAAACATTGTTGCACCTACATTATTCTCCCTTTTAAACTTTAATGTCATAGAGCAATATATGTAATTAGAAGTTGTATTGTATGTGTTAGTTTCCCTGTATATAATGCTTAGTGCATCGGAAACTTGGAAAATGCAGCGAAACAGTGAACAGTCATTGTATGTTTATTCATGTACACTATGAACTAAACCAAAATATTTGTTTTTCATTTCTTGGATAATACCTTAAACATTGAATATTACTGTAATATTTTTAAATATGAGAAATTACCTGTATTCTTACTGCTGTTGTAAATGCCAAGTTACCATCTGGTCTCAACACACTCTGAGTTCTGAACCCTCGGACAATTGTTGGTGCTTTAAGGTCAATAAGCACCCAGTTGATTCCTGGCTCCTTGCGGGTACCACACCACCCTTTACCACTGTTGAGCCGAACCATCTGTACAACAACAAAGGGAATTATTGTTACTTCTCCTTAAAATGAAAATACTGAAGAACTACTTAAGCATTTTTAAAATGCTACCATCTAAAATATTATCTAGTCCATTCCTTTACATGCGTTCACCAAGAACAAGCTCAGTGTGATAATTTTACTTGAATTCATTTAACAATAGCAGTAACATTAGTCTTATCTGCAAGAATAAAAATATATCCATAAGAAATTATACCTACACTTGTTCTACAAGGTGATTCAAATATGACCGGGACTGATTTTTGTGTAAACAAGCCGCACTGCACAGCAACTGTGTGACCATGAGAGAGTGAAGCCACAACCTCCACCCTCCCTCCTGTTTGGGTTAGAAAGTGTTCAGTCCTGTCAAGGCGTTGCTAGAATAATGAGCGAACAGAAGGTACCACGGAGCATGGAATAACACATTGTGATCAAATTCCTCATTGGAGAAAACGTCCCATCCACTGAAATTCACCACAGACTCCAACAACAGTATGGGGAGGAGCATCTCTCATGGACTTATGTGTCTGAGTGGTGTAAGTGCTTCAGAGAGGGCAGAGAGCTTGTGGAGAATGAACCACATGATCGTCGGCCGCGAACAGACATCACCGAGCCAAACACTGATCGTGCAAACGCACTTATTCGTGAGAATAGGCACATCACTATTAAGGAACTTGGAACAATGCTGTCCATCAGTGGTGGTAGTGTAGAAGACATCATGAAATGCCACCTGCACTATCACAAGGTGAGTGCACGGTGGATACCACGCACTTTGACGGACGTGAACAAAATGGTGCGCATGCAAGCTGCCAGTCATCTCCTACAGCAGTTTGAAGATGAAGGTGATGCATTTTTTAAGTCTACAGTGACCACCGATGAAACGTGGATGTACTACTTCATTCCCGAGACCCAGCAGTCATCACGTGAGTGGCAGCATACCAGTTCTCACAAACCCAAGAGAGCGCGGAAGAGCCGTTCAGCAGGAAAAGTGATGGCAACGTTCCTCTTGGACTGGCAGGGGGTTATCCATGTAGACTTTCTGACAGATGCCAGAACAGTCAATGCAGCTTATTACTTAGACCTCCTAGCAGCAGACGTGAAGGAAAAGTTCTGATCAAAGCGGAAGACGGGTGGAAAGCAGGTGGCCTTCCTTCAAGACAATGCACGCCCCCATATGGCCAAGACAATAAAGGAAACCCTCCAGAAAATGAAATAGAACCTTCTGACACATCCACCATACAGTCCCGATTTGGCCCCAAGTGATTTCTACCTGCTTGGAAGGCTCAAATCAGACTTGCAAGGCATGCAGTTTGTGGACAACGACACCATCATCCAGACTGTTCGGGAGCGGATATGCCGCCAACCACAAGCCTTTGTTGAAAAGGGCATCAGAATGCTTCCAGAACTCTGGAAAAAATGTGTTGACTCCGGAGGGGAGAACGTTGAAGACTGACATGTGCAAGTCAGTTTTTGGCAAGTATGGTTTTTAAAAAGAAAATCAGTCCCGGTCATATTTGAACCACCTTGTATTAGCAGAGATTCCTACTTACATCACATAGAGCAGAGAATTTCCAAGAAAATACCTTCATCCTAGAAGTCAGCAAAGCTGTACTGCTAGTGAAAATATAGTGAAATAATGTACATCACTCTGCCTCTTTAAAATTCTATCTTCAACTTCCATTTGTACAACATTCTAAAATATTTTTCATCATAATGACTACATGGTCTAAGACATGAACTGTCTTCTACAACTCTGGTGGTGACGGTGATTGTGGCAGTGGCAGCAACAACATCAATAGTGGCTGTGCTGGTGGTAGTGATGGAGGACGAAGAGTCTCAAACATTAATTTCATCCAACAACAACATTTTAAGCATTTTAGTTATTCAACCACTTACTTCCTGCTAAGCGGCCTCCGTAGTCTAGAGGTAACATTCCCACCTCATGACTCGTAGTACGTGGGTTCAAATACCGGGTGCAGGTCATCGAATTTTTAAGGGCGGAAAAATTCAGGGAACAAGTCCTCCGGGAGGGCCTTTAAGCTGTGGGTCCCGTGTCATAGCTTTACAGCATGTAAAAGAACCTCATATCTCCAAAGGAGGTCACTGAGCCAAATTACGGATGTTTCCGCCCAACAGCAGTCACTAATATCTCCGGTAGATGGGGGAAGCATTATAGATACCTCTCAGCTAGTAGAGCCGGTCTCGCTGGCTGGGCGGGACTGATGGTAAGCACCAGTACCGGTAGGATATAGAGACTAGTAGAAATCATAGAGTGAAGCACAATGGACCAATACAGGTCTCAGTGCATGGGGAAACCCACCCTCTCCAATAACTAACTAACTACTTCCTGCTATCCAAAACCACCCAACCATTACAACCGCTACTGTGACTGCTGATGCTGTCACATCAGTACTGTAATATGACAAAACACAAGATGACAGTGAAAGTTAAAGTTACAGCTATAGTAAATGATAAAACAAATTTACATAGGCCTATTTTTATGAAGTTCTGTGGTGTGGAATGCACCCAACCCTAAATTTTTATGTGGTGGTTCATATGTCCAAATATTTTCTTCTGGTCAAATCTGCCACAGTAGCAGCATATGTAAATGAAGAGTTAGAGTAAAGAAATCTAGAAAACTGTTAAACAGTCATAAGAATGAGAGGATTATGTTACCTTTACTTCAACATCAAAACCAATGGTGGGAAAACCGATGACATTAAATTGAGATTTGTCACCAATATGATTTCAATGAAATTTTATGTTTTAATGGGATATCTATATATGTTGCCTGTTTCCAAATAATTCTGTATTGTAAGATATGTCTACTATGACATGATTTACAAGAACAAATTCTAAGGATTTCTTAAACAGGCCTAAATAAATAGTTCCCACTGCTTAGAATTATTTAAATCATTTTATATTTAAAAAAAATGCTATGGGTCTAATGAAAATATTAAGATGTCGAAGTGAAGAGCGTATAATTGAAGAATCTGAATAGTGCATAATTGAAGATCATATTAAATTAAACTGGTTAGGTTAGGCTAGGTTAATTTGTTATATTATTGTGACGTATTTGCGCGATGCAGGACAACCCCTCTCCCACCAGCAGTGACATAACAGCATAGGAGCCACTGCCGCTGTTACAGTAACAGGACAGTAAACACTGAACCCCCCAACGGTGACGTAACAGCACTTCCCACTGTGACATAACAGGGGATACCACGGTTACTACGTGGCAACAGATGACTCCGTGCAGAGACTGTGGCTTGGTAATCGGTAAACGTGATGTCGCAACAGTGGTAGCTATCACATAACTGTTTTCTGTGTTGTCAGTGCAGAAGCTACATAAAGAGGAGTATTCGTCAGTGTAACAAGAGTTACTAGACAGTGTGTGATCAGGAGTGAAACAGTGTGGATCGTGAAGTCACCAATTGCAGTGGAAGTCTAGCAGTCACCAAGGGCAGTGGAAGTAATTGTGATACTGCTGATGGCAGTAACTGTGTAATTGTGAATTGCATAAGTGTATGAGCAAATGTGGAATAAATTAGCTATATCTGATACGGCGTGAAGTTGTTTGCCGCGTGTCACATACCCAACATGTGACAATTATGTTATCTTAGATTGGATTAAGTCAGTTTATGTTAAGTAAAGCCAGAATGTTTAATGAACTTAAGTTTCAGCAGGTGAAATAAGATTAATTTATTTTAGGTTATATGCAATTTGCATAGTTTGAATACACATTTCAAAATTATACATACTGCCCATTATAGTCGTGCAAACACATAACATATGCTATTTACATTTATAGCAGTGACAAAATTTAAGATAGTAATAACAAAATAATATGAAATTGTGTTTATTTTTCACAAGGCATTTCAGAATAGTAGTGGAGGAATAAACAAATGTGTCTCTCTATAGTCTGAATGAAGGTAGACTTAATCAGATAAAGTGGCATAATTTCTGGGAACAAGTTATGAAAAAATAGTAAAGTCTAATTTGACACATATATTTCACATTAGATTTTTAGTCTTTCTAAAAGGAGAAGCAAGATACCGTTTTGTCATAATCTGCTTCCTCATCAGATACAGATATAGCGTCATCAGGGATTCCTCCTGTTGTGAGTCCCAAGTCTCCTACAGGCCGACACTCCAAGTTTGGAGCAAACCCTTTACGACAGCGACAGTGAAATGAACCAGCTGTGTTTATGCATTCACTTGAAGCAAGGTCACACTGACTGTTGGCACACTCGTTTACATCTGCACAAATAAAGCAAGACATTAATTAATATGCTAACTTGAATTTACATTTACATTTAATGTGATTTTGATTGGTTATATGAAGTATCAAAATATGAAAGAAATGTTTGTTTTGATACTGAAGGAAGATTTTGAAAGGCAATTATCTAAAATAACACACAAAGAACACTAAATTAATTACTGCATCTGCATTTAAAACATGGCTATAATTTTATTAATGCGCTCCTTATTTCAAACTTGGTACCTTGTAATGTGTGTTATGTTCTTATTTAATGTTCCTTTTTTATCCTTACTGTAACCATCATCATCAGTAATCAATCATCATCTACATCACTGTATTCTGTATTATTAGCTCTGCATTATACAGTATAATGAGGACACTATATCTTTCAAGACCATTCCTAATCAAAGGTTGAAGTAGACGTGCAGATTTTTAGATGACAACAGTTTTCTCTCAAGCCATGACTAACCATTATGATCACTGGAAAAACGAAGGTTGATATAAGAGGGTAGGCTGTTTAATTCTTCAGCCATTTAGTGATCCTGCATCAACTGCAGGCTATACACCATTGAATGAGAATGATAAAATGATCATATTACATTAAATTTCATTAACATGTATATATAGGCCACGCCACAGCTCAAGCGGTTAGTCGCCGGCTTCTCTTTGTGGTGGTCCAGGTTCAATACCGGGTCTGGTCAAGTGGGATTTGTGGTGGACAAAGTGGCACTGGGCCAGGTTTTCTCTGAGTACTTCAGTTTTCCCTGCCAATCTTCATTCCACCAATTGCTCCACAATCACCCTCACCTATCATCTGGGGCTGGTACAATAGGCCAGAAGTGGCCGCAGTACAACGGACTTAGTCCCACCACACTAGCAATAAAAAACATATATATATATATATATATGTATACATATATGGCCAGATAGACCGCATTCCTGTGTGTGTTGTCAGACAGTGAAAATGTGGTCCTTTTTGTTTAGAATTTAAGCAGAAACCAGGAAATTGTAAGATTAGCTTGATATTTAACTTGTTCATTATTATTATTCCAATCTTCAGGATTTCGTGTTGGCTCGGAAATGTTTGTGTTGTTAAGTTCAAAAGCTCATACCATGTTCTGACAGGCTGTTTCTCAAAAAATTTGTAATGTCTCGATTATACTTTTTAAAATAATGTATTAAATATGTTGGATACTCACCTTCACATTTTGGTGGGTTTAAAAATTCCTGACCAATACTGCATTTGATGATACTGGATGCAGTTAATTTGTATCCTTTGTAGCACTGAACTCTTGCCTCATCACCAAAGTAGTACTCACGGGACATGTCAGTTACAAATCCATTCTTTATTACAGGGAATTTTGAACAACGAGCTCCTATAAAATCCAGTTAGTAAGTACTTTATATTTCAGAGAGATATGATAACATTTTGCAATATATATATATACACAACAACCATAGTCAATAAGTTCGTGGACTGGCCGCAAAACTTTGTTGCAGTGCACTACAGTGGATAAGTTGAGACACAATATGATGCCCTGTCAGTTCACCTCTTGTCACAGCAAGAGGCAGTTGTGTGCAAACAGTGTAAGCAGAACTATTGGCTCCACTGTGAACTGCAGTCAAATGCAAGTGGCAGAAATTGAAAATGTAGCAGTTTGAACAACAGGCAAACATCAACTTCTGCCAAAAACTAGGCAAATCCCCTAGCAAAACGTTTGGTGTATGAAGAATTGGCTGCTGCTACATGATAACGCCCCTGCATATCGCTCTCTTCTTGTCCAAGAGGAACTGGCAAGGCAACAGGTCATCATTTTGCCACACCCTCCGTACTCACCTGATCTCACACCCTGCGATTTCTTTCTCTTTCACCACTTGAAAGCAAAGCTACATGGTCGTAGATTTCAGTCATCCAAGGAGGTTGTCAATGCCACAAGAGATGCCATACTGGAATTTCCTGCCAATATGTTTCAGCAAAGTTTTCAACAGCTATATCAATGTTGGCAGACTTGCATAGAGGCCAACGGCAACTATTTTGAAAGCCGAAGTGGATCTGTGTAAGTGTATGTGAATACCTTCTAATATGATGTGATAAAACCATAGTCCACGAACTTAAAGACTGTACCACATATATATGTAAGTGAAACAAACTGTTATTGTTAAACACTTTTTATATTGAAACAACTACATTGTTGTGAAAGTTCCTTCAATAATTCATATACTTCCAATTACTTGACAAATTTTTTAAGCAGTATATATCTTGCTACAACAAATAGTTAAAATTATGACCATTCAAACTTTTATTGTTGCAGATAATACAGTCTTGCCGCACTGATAATATGGTGTGCATTATGGATTGAAAGAGTCCACAAAATACTGGAGTTATGTAACATCATTTATTTTAAACAATGCAAACTGAAAGTAAGAAAGTAACATCTGAGAAAACAGACTGGGACCATAACCTACAACTTTGCACATGCATGCGCATAAATGTGCTTTTGCAAACACACCCATCCTCAAAATTATACACACATTCATGTAGGTACCCACAGATGTGTATGCTATGAAGAAATGCTGTACTGGTGCTCACATTCTTACAGTCAGGTGAATACTGGCAAATACAAAGCTGTCTCATATATTCTTCTTTGCTAAGAGTGAAAATAATTACTAATTTCAAAGTAATTTCAAAATAAATCTTTAAAATTTTGAGGTTGTATTATTATATTAACAGCTTCTTCCTTATCATCTATATTTTTGCATTTACATAAAATGAAAATATAATTACTTACTTGAGCAAGTGGGAACGTCACCAGACCAAGTACCATTACTCATACACAAAATTACAGGATGTCCACTGCGGACATAACCAGGTTCACATTCATAACGCACAATTGTTCCATAACTGCGTCCGCCTCCATTAAGAACTGTTACATTTGCATGTGGTGATTCTGACAGAGGAGAGCACTGTGAAGCTGGAAATTAAACAAGCATATGATAATGCATTACTGAACAAAAATACTCTCATAAAAGATGATTTATGAAATTAAATGTATTTTTGCTGACCTAAGCAAGTTGGGAGTCTCTCCCAGCGACCATCAGCAAGACAGGATACTCTTTCTATTGGCAGACCAGATGGAAAAGCAAAGCCTGCATAACATTGGTACATAGCTTGACCACGGTACGTCACATTGTTTGAGCCAACAGAGAAGCCATTGTCAATCTGGGGTACAGGTCCACAGTATACCTCTGTAAAAAAATCATTGATTAATATAAGTGATTGTTTTTAACGCCAACAAGCTTCTTTCTGTATAACAGTGCTACATTTCTGGATATTTCATGGTAAAATCTTGTATAATTGGAATTGACAAAGATATCTTCAGGAAATTTTGAGTATTTACCTTGACAGGGTGGAATATAAGTAACAGACCAGTTGCCTCCTAGCATACATTCTGTGGTGATACGAGTACGCCCTGTGGCAAACTCCTGTCCCACTGGGCAAGTGAATGTTACAATGGTACCAAATGTTGTGTCACGGCTTGATGCAAGAGCTCCTAATCCAGGCTGTAATGCTGGGCAGTCTGAAATATGTTACCGTGCATCAGACATATATATATTTGTACACACACACACGCACAGAGGATGATATTTTATTCATTGAACAATTTCAGTTACTTATATTTTCCTAATTCATGTGCTTTTGGAACTGAAAATTTAAGAGACTCCAGATACACATCTTTCCTTTTGGCTTCATAGCATTGGAACAGTGTTATTTTAGCTCAAAACATCATGGAGACCAGGTAATTTAACACTGAGAAAGAATATTTAAAAATGGAAGTTCTGTGGTTACAGTAAAGACAAAATTCTGTAAAGAGTTTGCGTTATGTAAAGGACCAACAAAAAATATTGTAACGTGGATGGCGCAACAGGAAGTAGGGGATCATATGAACTCTGCGTTTCCACAAGTGATGTCGCATACCCCCACTTCTTCCATCATTATGCAACGCTCAGTAAACACCCCTCCCCGCTAGGCTGTGACATCACACAACAGGCGAGTCCATGCAGCAACTATTGCAATCAGTAAACACGGCAATTATGCAACAGGGAAGCGAGATGCGTTTTCCACTGTCCGGCTGAGGGTTTATATGAGAAACTGGAATGCCTATGGGGGAGAGTGGGAGTCTAGGAGTTGCCAAGGACAGTGGAAGTTGAGCAGGTGCCAAGTGCAGTGGCACATTAGCAGTCGGTTTCCAGCCTTCGAAGAGATGAGGTGAAGTCCAGCAGCCACGATTTGTTGTTGAGTTGTATTGAGTGAATGGCAGTGACTACATCAGAAGTAATTGTGATACTGCAGCTGGCAGTAATTGTGAAAATGTGAACTGTCTAAGTGTAAGAGCAAATGTGCAATAAATTTGCTAGATCCAAAACGGTGTGAAATTATTTGCTGCATTACAAACCCAACACACAACAATATATTTTGATGTACACTTTAATTGTTTGAAGGAATGGATCACCTACTCAAATGGTTGAAGGATTATGTTCAGGGCGCATCAATACGCACACCTGGTACAGTAGATAAAGCCAGAAAAACATCACTAATGATTCCTAAGAAAAGCCAGTCATGTCTTTCACATTCATAATGTTTATATATTAACAGTCTTCAAGTGCATACAATCCCATCTACCACTTCTACACTACATGTTTCGGCAGTATGCTGCCATCTTCAGGTGTATCGATCCATTAACCATTTCACTGCTTGCCTTTATACATCCATTTACAAATAATATTAAATTTGTATATTTCCTTATACAATAATAAAGTTTATGTGTTTAAAACTTGTTAAAACCTATTATCTCATATGTCATATTTTTAAATTCGTGTGTATTATTAATCATCCACATGGGGGTCGTTCTTCTTATGTTTCTAATGTTGTGTGTATATCTGCAATGTGAAAAATGTTACAAATTAATGTTATGTTTTGATTTCTATTGGTTTCATGTTGTTAATATTATACTGTTTAGTACTCACTGTGTCTTATGATGTGTTCTACTCTTGTGGCTGTGTGCGTTGTATCGTTTGATGTGTGTGTGTGTGTGTGTGTGCTGTTTTCATTCTCTTATATTATTGATCGAGTTATGGTGTTGTGAGGATAAGTGTGGTGGGGGTAGGTGGTGGGGTTGTGTTGTGTTGTTCTGTGTAAATTGTGTGTAATTCATGAAATACTGGGTTATATATTTCTTTATTTATATTATTCATATGCGTGTTTTTCTTTGTTGTTCTGTCTATATGGTAGTTTTCCAATGTGTTTAAATATTGTCCTTTTTTATTCGTTGCTATTATGTCCATAGTATTTTCTATTGTACCTTACGCATGTCCCATATCTGTGTTCCGAGTATCCTGTATTACTGTTATTGTGTCTTATGTCATGAATGTGTTCTTTATATGTGGTATTAAATTTCCTCCCAGTTTGTCCTATATATTCCATGGGGCAATCTAGGCATTTCATTCTGTTGATACCACTTTTGTTATATTTATCTCTTTGTGGTTTTGATTTCAATATGTGTTGTAAATTGTTCTTAGTTCTAAATGCCATTTTTAATTTTATGTCTCGAAATATTTTTGTAATATTTCTTGGTGGCAGCTGCTGTCAATTACCCCCCCCCCTTATATAAATTAGTGTCATGTCACAGAAATGGCATGAAAGCAAGTAAGTGATGAAGTGCAATATAATGATTCAACTGTATACGGATGATGATGTGATACTGTAATAAAGGGATGAAGAAACATGACTTCACTATCCTACAACTTAATTCTTCCCTAACTTTTTAGGCAATTATAAATGTAGAAGTATTAAAACTACTACAATGCTAATAAAGTGTGCAAGATAAAGACTATCACGTAAGCAGACAAAGAAGTAACTAGGGGTTTCAATTTAGAATTTGATACATCATATACTCTGCTGTATATAAAGAAAATAAATTTCTCTTTCAGTATCTCTTGTCACTGTTATAAATTGAAGCACTGAACTGAGTGTCATATATTCTTGAAAATCAACCCGAAAGACAGATTTAATTGTTAATAATTTGTACAGAAATACTGAATTGTGCAAAAGCAGCATTATGCTACTCCTACATAATTTTACACTATTATAAAAACAGTTCAGACTTATGGCCATTTTTGTGCATGCACAGTTCACACCTACTGTATCATTGGCACTCTAGTAAAAGTCACAACACTGTTTACTCATGCACTAATGCCTGAACTTCCAAAATGAATGAACAGCATTCAAACTCTTGAACCTGTCAGTTCAACATGCTAATTTCTAAAACCTGCCACTTGAGATGAGTCTGAGCCAGTTTCATCTATCTCCCATCCTCACAACATATATTTTATGATCTGCCTTCATGTTACACTCCAACCTTCTCCTAGGTATTCCAGATGACCATTTTCCAAGAGATTGCACCACCAGATGTCTGTATGCAGTCCCTGTTGCTATATGCTAGCTACATAGCCAGTAAATTCTACCACAGTTCAGGTTCATTCCAAAGTCAGGTCATGTGAGATTTGTGATAGACAAAGTGGCACTGAGGTAGTTTTCCCCAAGCGCTTCATTTCCCCAGCTAAGTCTTATTCCACCACTTGTTCCATACTCATATAACAGCACCACCACCGCCACAACTGCCATCACTACCACAGCCACAGCCACAGCAACCGCCGCCGCCGCCACCACCGCCACCACCACCAACACNACTCCACCTTACAGATTTTTAAATTTATATGGCCAGGCCATAGTAACCTTCTGCAGTTCATAACCCAACAGTGTTAGGTGATATATTCTGACCAGAAGTACAGTAATACTGAAGAGGTGAACTGGTTTGTCTACAGACAACATACTAGATTTAAATCTGAGACAGGACACTCCCCTAACTTATGATTTTTGTATTTTTCCATAATCCCTTCAGGAAATGCCAGGGTAGTACCTCAATTATGCCATGACTGCTTCCTTACATGTTCTTTCTAATTCAGCGTTGCATTAATCAGTGAACTTACCATGAGCTAATATAATAGTCTAGATACTGACAGTGTCACTAAATAACCCACAAAACAGCCCCAGAAACTGATTGCACAGTTAATCCTTCACTAGCAAGTGGAACTGCTTTATGTATATCCCAAAGTTTCTCACTATATAATACCCTAAACTGTCCACCCACTTTGTCCTTCATAAGAAGTATAAGAAGTTACAAATTACAAAGTTCTTAGACACAAGTAAAGAGATTTCACACTACAGATAATGTCAATGCTGTATGTTCCTACCTGCAGAAAAAGTAGCTTTCCAGCCTCTGCTATTATGTAAAGCATCTGTAATGAATCTGATTAACATTTCTCCACTAGAGGCTGTGAGTGTGATTCGTGGTGATGTGCTGGATGTAAAGCCATTATTGGGATGCAGATGCAAGCCACTTGTAGTTGCCCCATCATAAACCTGATAAAAATAAATCATTATCCTTCATTACCTCCACTTTGACAAACTGGTGCCACACAAATATTTTTAAGAATCGTAACAGCATGCTGAATAATTGTTATTAATATTGTGACACGTTACCTTGCGTCCATCATCGCAACAACCGCTACAATCGGAATGGACACTTCCACAACAACAAATATGTGGAAATTGGGGAGTTCCTGCAGCGACAAATCGTAGCAACAAATTGTCGTTGAATAACAACAGATGAAACAAAACACGTTACTGTTGTATTCTAAAAGAAGCATTACCGCAACAATGGACTGTCTGAACAGCAGTAACGGAACCATGAGGAACGGTGTCTGGTATCCAGTCCACATAACCCCTATATAAGAGCCAGAGACTTCGTACAGAGTATTAGAGTATTGAGAACGAAACAATCTTGGGATAGCCGCCGCCAGAGACAGTTGAGATAAAACTACAGCCAAGGATAGTTGAGACGTAGTATTGAGTATTAGAGTATTGGGGCAGAAGTCAGGTGATACTGCAATTGTAAGGTGTATAAGAGTGAGTGTCCAATAAAGATTCACTAAATCCGAGACCCACGTGAAGTTATTTGTCGCGTGACATACCCAACACGTGACAACTGGTGTCAGAAGTGGGATCAGTTCGGATCAGTTCGGATTAACCAGGTTGAATTTAAAAGACTGGACTTACACACATGACTGACAGGATAGAACTTAAAAACAAAAATAACGCAGAAAAGAAAAAATGGGTTCTCAACAAATATTGGAATTCCTGCTAGCCATGAAAGAAAAGACGGATGCCAGACATGATGGCCATTATAAAAGCATGGCGAGAAAAGATAGCCACCATGAGAGATCAAAAGATGAATGCCACAATGAGACGTTGGCCTGCCGAGAGATGGAGGCACATCAAGAAGAGAGAAACCCGACCTCACTGGACAGGAAACCTGAGGTGGCACAGAAAGAAGACATCCCCAAAGTAGACGCCGAAGTGTTGCCAGTCGAAGAACCGAAGAAGAAAAGGCTTAGGGACCGAAAACTGGCCATGGAGCACCGCCGTCAGAAACCAAAGAATTCTGACATGAGAAAATTGTGGACCCCAGAAGAAACTGGCCATCGCCCACAGTGGGGCAAGCCACCATACGGAAGTAGCATGGCAGGCAAAGCAAACCAGCAGAAAGATGTCTGGTCATCCAAGAATCGCCTGGCACCAAAGAAGTGTTGGTAGGAGGAATTGTATCAGGGCCAAGTATAAGGAAAGGATCTGGTGACTCAGAGAAAGAGTGTGGATTCTCCACAAAGGAAGAACAGGAATAAAGAACATAGGCAACAGATGGCCGCTATGTCAGAAGAAATAGGTGTCAACCAAGAACGGCATCAGAGGGTGTAGATCAGGACAGCGATTGCACCTAGGAAGGAGAGGAACTCGAAAGAAGCCCCCCTACGAGACTGTCAACGTGAAGAACATGAAGAGAATTACCAGATTTACTGCTGGGTTGGTACCCATCAAATATTGGACACTGTGGAGGGGTAGGCCCCCTCCAAAACGAAAGAAGGGAAATGGCCCATATGGGAGGAAGCAGTAACGTCGAAGCACCGGCCTCCCCAGCAAGGATGAATGAGGAAAGAATGAATGTGAGACAATGGTACCAACAAATCCTGGACCATGGAAGTGCTTGGGGCGAGCACTCTGGAAGAAAGGGGTCAGACAGAAGAATCTACGATGGAAAATGAAAGAAGGGCAGAGATACCGTTAGGAAGGCAAACACCAGGAACAAAATGAAGGAAGTATCATTAGGCTGTTCGGGGACAAACAACCTTTAGAAGGGAGCAATGTGACATATTACCTTACGTCCATCACCGTGACAACTGCTACAATCGGAACGGACACTTCCACGGCAACGAATACGTGGAAACTGGGGAGTTCCCGCAGCGACAAATCATAGCAATGAATTGTCGTTGAGTAACAAGAGATGAGACGAAACACGTTACCAGTGTATTCTATAAGAAGCGTTCCCGTAACAACGGACTATCTGCACAGCGGTAACGGAACCGTGGGGAATGGTGTCTAGTAACCAGTCCACATAACCCCTACACAAGCAGAGCCAGAGACTTTGTACAGAGTATTAGAGTATTGAGAATGGGACAATCTTGGGATAGCCACCACCAGAGACAGTTGAGATTCAACCACAGCCAAGGACAGCTGAGATGTCACATGGAGTATTGAGTATTAGAGTATTGGGCCAGACGTCAAGTGATACTGCAAGTGATAATAATGTAAGGTGTATAAGAGTGAGTGTCCAATAAAGATTCGCTAAATCTGAGACCCATGTGAAGTTATTTGTTGCATGACATACCCAACACGTGACAATATGTTACCCACTCCCCTTTTAAAATCTTATTTATTCACATAGAGGTAGGTTGCACGTCTACATTATTACACTGTACTTCTCATAATTTTTGTGCTATAATTATGTTTCTATACATGGTAATTTCAAGTCAGCACATTTTTATGACACTACCAGAAATTATCAATGTATGTATATATTTCAGTACTGACCCAACTTCATTAGCATAATTTTATTTTCAATGGCACTTCCAGCCCACTCAGCAGGACCCAGGCCTTTTATTCAATTTCATTATAATTTTTCACAGTTGGTAGGACTCCTTGAAAGAGTGATCAGCCCATCTCAAGGACGCTACCTAAACACAGGACAACACAAACACAGAATAAACGCATACACACACCAAACATCCATGCCTTGAGTGGAATTTGGACCCACGATCCTATTGTCTTAGCAAGCGAAGACAGTTCATACCTCAGACCACATGACTACTGTGACTGGCGCATTAACATAATACAGTTTTCAATTAACAGTCAATAGTAAAGTGAGATGGGCTGGAGCAGTATGTCATATTACTTCTTTATCATGTTTAATATTAGACTAATAAATAATGGCTAATCTGACATAATCATTTCTACTTCTAACAATCCTTAATCTAGAATCATAAATAATGACCATTATTCAAAATTTGACTTCCAGATTAAGATAAACCATATCAAATAAGCATAACACTCTTCTAAAATATCATCCTGATACTGTAGCTGAAGTAAAGAGATAAACTTGAAGAGTTTCACATCAGTGAGTCAGAGATTGAAGCTTCACAAGATTAAGGCAGACACAAACACTACCTACCATATAAACTATTTTACTTTTATTAGAGTTTTAATTTCACATCTCACCTGCACAAAATCTGACTGGTGCACATCAAAATCTTCAAACTTGAGAGAGAGTGCTCCACCACCTGGCTTCTTGATCTTGTAGAGACATTCTTGGTTGCTAGGGTAGTCACTTAAACCAAAAGCTGGTGAAGTGAAAGTGCCATTCATTGATGTTATGGATGCCCTACATCCTGCACACAAAATTAATTTCTACAATTATGTTATATCTTCTGAAGTACATATACAAAAATCCCTTAAATTAATAGCTTTTTGAAGAAAGTCGTCTTACAGCTTTTTGTTTAAGACTAACCATATATTATGTATATGACATTTTATTTCTGTGTTATAGAATGGAAACCAAAAGTTATTATGAAATTTTGAACAGATCCAAAGTTGTAAATATAACACAAGCACGAACCTTGCAAATACTTGATTTTGAATCCACGACGAGAATCACCCAGACTGGTTTTGAAGTACACATACAACTGATTTCCTGTAGACATTATAAGGTGGAGGTTATCCTCTGCTGATCCAGTAAGACGAGCAATTGGTTGACTCTTGGGATCATCACCATTTCGAATAAGGATGTAATCTCGATTTGTTTCCAGATCCAAGTCTTCTATTTCTAGAGTAACAATTCTTCCAATCTGAGCCCCAATGATGTATAAGCACTCTAATCCACCAGGGTAATCCTGAGGATAGCCAGGTGATGTCAGAATTTGCGGCTGTGGGGTGGCTCGCAATACGCCTCCACATGTCTGCGGCTCTGTCTTCCATGATGCCCTGTAGGTCAATTTTTAAAAATGTTAATAGCTATTGAGAAATGTTTCATAATGAGTATTTCTTGTGTCACATTCATGTTAATGCTCATGCAGTCCATGGAAATAGTGGGAGAAAGGGCATGAATAAACAACTACATTGTAGTCACCCAAGGGCATCTGATGATTATTAAATTTGTTAAGAAATTCTGTGTTATGAATTACTCGTATTTCATTCTTAAGTTATTTAACTACACCACTTCAAAGTCAGCATTGAATGGTACAAGGAGATGGTCCTGACTGATGAGCAGATAACGGTTTGAAAGGAGGTGGTCATGGATTATTTCAAGATACTATCACAACATTCATATGGATACATTGAGGGAAACCACAGAAATGTGGCAGCATACCCAGCAATATGACCAAGATTCAAATCGAATATCTAATGAGTGTAAGTGTAGAGCACTACTGCTACACTAAACCACTTGGATGCTGTTAATTAAAACCAAAGTTTAGTTAGTCATTACACTGACAGTAGCCCATCAATGGACCATGTCCTCCAGTTCATACCTTCACAATGTACTTCCTTAAGATTTATTTTTATACTAAGCTTTCACTTGCAAATAGGAGGCAGTCCAATAATCATTTTCTTTCAGATCAGATATGGATTTATGTACCCAAAGCATCCATGAAATGACTACATTAAAATCTGGAAATTACAATCTGTAATTCTGGCTATCACAAGAATTCTGTATCCTGTATTCATGATTCATCATTTAGAATTATTTACTTCTGCAGGAAAAATAATTTAATTACAAAATCTTTAATTTCAAGATGACAGACCACAAGCAAGAAAGATGTGCTGTGAAGTTTAAAGTAGAGCATAAGAGAGCACAAGACAGCAAACTGGATATTTCAAAGAACTGATAGAAGCCAGAGCCAGAGATCTCAGTGACGATAAAGCTTAAAAGATTGCAATGGGCTGGGCATGTACAGAGAATGGCTAAGGAGCGTATCCCAAAGAAAATATTATACAGTACACAATAGGTGGTAGGAGACGTGCTGGGAAACAAAGAACTAGATGGATTGATGCGGTGGAAGAAGATGCAAAGAAGTTAATGGGCGTAAGGAACTGGAAGAGAGCAGCGCAGGATAGAGAGCCCAACATCGGGCTGTTGCGCCATAGAAGAAGAAGAAGACGAAGAAGAAGAGAGAGATCAAACATTAGAAGTACCCATAAACCTATAGCCTTACTTTAATTTAATTTGATTTGTTTGTTTAGGTTAATTTAAAAAATTTTTCTGAGTCTTGATGGTAGACTGTAAAGTTACAACTGTGTAGAAAATGTTCAATATGAACACCATGTGAATTTCATGGTGACATGACATTTCTCTCATCTATTATATGTTCATCCGGAATTCAGTAAAAATATAGCAGATCTATTTTTTATTTACAAGACAAAACTTATTATTATTATTATTAGTATTAACAGTCTTTACTACTACTACCACCACTACCGTTGCTGTCATCATAGTTGTTACTGCAGTTGTCATCTTTGCCACTGATGTCATTGCAGCAGCAGCAGCAGCAGCAGTAGTAGTAGTAATTGTAGTAGTAGTAGTAGTAGTAGTAGTGGTAGTGGTAGTGGTAGTGGTAGTGGTAGTGGTGGAGGTGGTGGTGGTGGTGGTTTGTGGGGATATTATTCATAAAGTTCAAGACGTTAGCTAATAAGACAATTACATTCATATGCAAAATGCAATTTCTAAATCTGCCACTAACAGTAGCTATTACTCGTAATAAAAAAACTAACTGTAGTATCTAACATGGAGACAGCAATGTCCACTGATATTACACTAACCTGAATCCTTTTCTTTCTACAGATGCATCAGTGCTGAATTTGATGATCATGAAGTTTGAGGCTGAAATAAACAACTTATTGCTGAGATCTTGTTTGCCTGACAGTGTTGCCAGATTAAGTGACTTGTCTTCAGTACGTCCACCGACCAGAATCTGAACTGTGTCAAATGACTTCTCTGTTTCAAATTCTTGAAACTGTTGAAGAATAAATATATAAAATACAGAACATAAAAGACTGTAATTAGGACGTGTATGAAAATACTATACTTCAAATCTATTTCATCATTTAAAATTCAAATATCCAATGAGATAAATCTGTAAGAAAACAGTAATTATACTGATAATAATTCTTAATCCACAATGTATAAAAATGGAACCTCATACATGTACAGGAAAATAATCCTACCTGCAGCAATATGTTATGTCCTTGAGGACCTTCAAGTGTCCATTTGCAGTCTGCCAAGGGTTGGTACTTATGTGGATAATTTGGGCTCTCTACAACATCCCCACTGCTAGCCATATAGTAATGGCAACTGGATGGACAATCTAATTCATCTGACCAATCACCACAGTCATTTTGGTTGTCACAACGAAATTCTGCATTCACACACTGTCCATTTGAACAGTGGTATGATCCTATAAAAAAAAAGGAAAAAATATTGCAATGTACACCCGTTCATAATATTCTTGGCTTCTCAGCATATTAGAACATGCTGATAAAAGAAAATGAAATCATTATTGGCATTCCTAGACATTTTTATTTTTAAGTATGGGTGTTACATATTGTGGCGTGCTGCCAGGAAGGCCGGACTTCAGAAAGTCCATTGCTGGTCAACGTCTAGCAATTCCTAGGAATCGAAACATAAACAGGCCGTTGCCTAGGGAAGTGCTTAATCAACAGAGGCCGAATGGTTGGGTTCCCACAGCAACAAAGCAACCAACAATATGGGGCATCTGTTGCTAGGAAAGGCATTGGTGGACATGCCTGACATCAATATATGATATCTGTTGGTAAGCAGTGATGTGTTTTCCGTAGGTGGTCCATGCCAAGCCTATATAGGGAGCAGTGAACATTAAGAATAAATGGATTACAAAAGGGATAATGATCTCATGTAAAATAAAGAGAGAACTCTTGTTATTATGCAGACATAGGGATGATTTAAATCTTAAAATATATTATAAACAATACTGTAAAATAGTATCAAAAGTAATAATAGCTGCAAAAATATCATATTACATACGTCATTTCAGAAATAATGCAGGCAATTTTTTGTTTACGTCCATGTTTATTTCTTTTTTAATATGTCTTTACAGTCCTTCAATATAGTCCCCCTGCTTCTCAATGACCGAGTCCCAACATGTAGGAAGCTTTACTATTCCATCCAGGACACCATCTTTGTTTATCTGTCGAATGGCTTGGGTACTGCAGCAGAAATCTCTTCCAGAGAAGGAAAAACGACGGCCTCGCATAGGTTGTTTCAACTCTGGGAATAAATCGAAGTCTGGTGGACTCATGTCTGGGCTGTAGGGAGCATGAGGCAACACCTCCCAACCGTATTGGCCCAGCTTTTCTGTTACGACATTCCCGATGTGCGGGCGAGTGTTGTCTTGGAGAATGATCGGCCCAGCCTCGAGCAACTGAGGTCGGTTTTTGTGCATTTTTCTGCACAGATCTTGCATAAAGCCAAGATAATAAACTGCTGTGACACTTTTCCCGCACGGAACTCTGTCATAATGATTCCTTGGTGATCATAAGCAAAGATCATCATTTGTTTGACCTTTGATTGAGATCATCGAAATTTTTTTGGTGGTGGGGAAGATGGACCTCTCCATTCGTTGGACTGTGATTTCAGCTCCAGTTCAAAGTCTGTGGATTTCTGTCAGGTTTTTTCCACGTAAAATTTTGATCTTAATGTACGACCTTTGATCTTCAACAGTCACAATACCCGAGAACCGTGCAGGCTCTCTTCTAACTCATGTTACTTAATAACAGAGTACATTATAAATGAAACAAAATAACGTGCTTCTTTCTCAAGCCCTGAACTGTAAGTGACATGAGGCTCACTGTTGTTGCGTCATCTAATCCGCAGTGTTGCCAACTTGTGCATTATAAATGAAACAAAATAACGTGCTTCTTTCTCAAGCCCTGAACTGTAAGTGACATGAGGCTCACTGTTGTTGCGTCATCTAATCCGCAGTGTTGCCAACTTGTGCATTATTTATGAAATGACACACATACAACAGAATTATTCTTAATTCTAATAAAATGAAAAGTACTTGGAAAATAATAAATGAGGATAAAGGGAAAATAAAAAGGGATAAAGGTATTCATTCCATAATGGTAGATAAAGTAATAATGAATCAGAACAAAATTGCAAATGCTTTTAACAAACACATTCTATCTATAGTTTATTCTATCATATCATTTAATAATAAATATATAAGCTCGAATACATCCAATCCAATCAATTACTTAGTAAATACGTTAGGAGACCTTTTACTAAAATGAATTGGCAGTATGCCTCCACTTATGAAATTGAAAAAAATTATTAAATCATTAAAGACTAAAAACTGAAATGGATATGATGAAATTTCAAACGGAATAATAAAATTAAGTTCACCATTTATAATTTCTCCACTTACTCATATTTGTAATGCAATACATAATACTGGTATTTTTCCTGATAGATTAAAATTTGCCATAGTTAAACCACTATCTTGAAAATGGAAAACTCAGAATATATCCAACTATAGACTTACATCACTGTTGACTTCTTTTTCTAAGATCACTGAAAAACTCATATATGCAAGACTTATTACTCATACTGAAGCAAATAATTTGTTGGCACATGAACAGTATGGTTTTAGGACACCCTCCTCAACTGAGAAGGCAGCTTTTACATTGATAAATAATATTCTAACTGCTATGAATAACAAGTTAATGGTGGGAGGCATTTTTATGATTTACAAAAGGCGCTTGATTGTGTTAAGCATAAGATACAGGGTTATTCAAAAAGAATGAACCGATTTTATTATGCAATATTTTATTAAAGGAAAGTAATACAAAAATCCAGCCAAGTCACAAGTATTCTACTCACAATCAACTTTTATTTCCTGTCTTACAAGTGTTCAATGTGGCCACCACCTGCAGCATGGGCAACATCAATGCGATAAGAGAATTCCTCCCAGGCGCGTATAGCATATCACGATGCACTGAGTTTATCGCTGTTGTTATTCGATGTTTAAGGTCATCGAGGTTAGTGGGTAGCGGTGGAACATAAACGTGATCTTTTACATATCCCCACAAGAAGAAATCACACACGGTGAGGTCTGGGGATCTCGCAGGCCAAGCCCCCCTCTGACCAATCCATCGCTGGGGCACTTTTTCATTTAAAAAAGCTCGGACCATCAGGTGCCAATTGGGCGGTGCTCCATCTTGTTGAAAAATGAAGTCATGCGAATCTGCTTGCAGTGAAGTGAAGGGCCAGTTCTGGAGCATATCGAGATAGGTTTGTCCTGTAACGGTGTTTCCTTCAAAGAAAAAGGGACCATAAACCTTGTCCTGAGACACAGCACAGAAGACGTTCACCTTAGGGGAATCTGTTCCCCAAATACGCACATTGTGACGATTGACTGCCGCTCAAGTGAAAAGTCGCCTCATCACTAAAAATTAATCGTGAAATGAAGGTTTCGTCTTCCATCATCTCCAGCATCGAATCGCAAAATTCCATCCGCTTCTTTTTGTCGTCATTGGTAAGTGTCTGAACGAGCTGCAGTCTGTATGGTTTCAAATGTAAACGTATTGTTAGCACGCGCCAGACAGTGAATTGAGGGATCGCAAGCTCACGGCTAGCTCGATTTGTTGACTTCCGCGAGCTCCTCTCAAACGCAGCACGGATTCTCGCCACTTGTTCCTCCGAGACTCGTGGTCGTCCTGGACTTTTTCCTTTACACAGACACCCACTCTCTTGAAACTGTCGAAACCACCGTCGAATGTTCTTAGGCCAGGGCGGATTAATGCCGAATCGCCTTCGAAAAGCACGCTGCACCGTGACAACCGAATTTGTTTTCGCGAACTCGAGAACGCAGAATGCCTTTTGCTGAGCAACCGCCCTTCCGAGGATAAACGAACAACTGAACGTTGCCGGAAGAAAAACGCGACTTCAGCGCCCCTGTGGCAGCCATTCACAACTTAGATAACGCCCCTTTCAAATGGTCACTGACTCATTCCATGTCGATGCTTGAGAATTGAAGCAATGCGGCATGAAATCGGTTCATTTTTTTAATAACCCTGTATTATTGGTTAAATTGGAATTCTATGGAATTGAAAGAAAATTCAAAACACTTATAGCACCTTATTTGACAGGTAGATATCAAAGAGTTGTATTGGGTAATAGAATTGACAGTAAAAACTCATCCAGGCCACGCCGTAGCTCAAGCGGTTAGTCGCTGGCTTCCCACAGCAGCGGCCTGGGCTTGATCCTGGCTCTGGTCAACTGGGATTTGTGGTGGACAAAGTGGCGCTGGGGCGGGTTTTCTCCGAGTACTTCGGTTTCCCCTCCCAATCTTCATTCCACCAAATTCTCCATCATCATAATCACCCGGGGCAGGTACAATAGGCCAATCAGTGGCTCTCGTGCCGAGTGGACCCAGTTGGACTCTACACTCCACTAAGCGAATTTAAAAAAAAAACAACTCATGCAAATGGGAAACAATTAAATGTGGAGTTCCACAGGGCTTGATTCTTGGTCCCTTATTTTTTTGTTTATATTAATGGTTTATCTAAAATAATAATATGGTATTATTTGCAGATGACACCACTATTATAGTAACTGACACTAATAAGTTAAACTTTGAAATAAATCTCAATCAAACTTTCAGAGATATAAGTACATGGTTTAATACTAATTTGCTTTCCTTGAATTTTAATAAGACTCAGTGTTGAGTTTCAACCTATGAATTATTATAATATCACTACTCAAATTAACTATAATCAAATAAATTTAACAAATGTAACTGAGACAAAATTTCTGGGATTAATTATTGATGATACTCTTTCATGGAAACAGCATATTGATTATGTTATTAGTAAAATTTCCATTGCATGTTATGCATTGAGAAATATAAAATATATTGTCCCTTTAGATATGTTAAAGCTAATTTATTTTGTTCATACACTTGGTCGTCGACTTACGGCCGACTTTCATTCTGACTGACAGGTCGTAAGTCGATCTGGTCGTATGTCGGCCATATATTTATTAACAGTATTTTTTAACCTTTCTAATCCTTTTATCATCTTTATAGTTTATTTTTAAAAACTTTTACATTTTAATCATCTTTTATTTTTCATTTTTTTGTGGTTGTAAGTGCGGCCGGTCATAAGTCACATAGGTCATAAGTCAATGACCAAGTGTATACATTCTATCATAAGTTATGGTATAATTTTTGGGGGTGGCTCTTCTTGTGTTAACAAAGTTTTTATATTGCAAAAGAGAGTTATTGGAATTATAACGAATTCTAGACCAAGAGAGTCTTGTAGGGACATTTTTAAGAATTTTAGAAATAATGATGTTCTTCTCTCAGTACATATAGTCATTACTTTTATACACAATTAATAATGAACATTTATTTAATTTTAACAATGAGGTTCACAAATATAAAACTAGAGCCCTCAATAATTTATATTTACCTGCAGTTAACCTAACAAAATACAATAGAGGTGCGTACATAGCAAGTACTAAAGTTTTTAATCATCTTCCTCAAACAATAAAAATGTTGGCTACTGATGCGAGAAGTTTTAAATCTGCATTGAAGAAGTTTCTATATCAGCATTCTTCTTATTCCATGAATGAATATTATCAACATAATTGGTCATAAGTGTGTAAATTTTTAATGTATTTAATTCAGTTAATATAGGTCATTTAAATAAAATTGTATTATTTCCAGTTTTATAGTAAGTTGTTTTTAAATTGTGTTTATTAATTAAAATCTTATTACATTTTTCACTTTATATTATTATTTATGTTAATCAATTAATGTAAGTGATTTTGATTATGTGACTCATGTAATTTGGTATATGTATCTTGATATATCTATGTTCAAAGGGACCATTTCCACATCCTAGGTTTGTTTCCTCTATGGATATATGGAAAATAAAGGAAATGAATGAATGAATGTAATTATCATGTGTGATAATTGTTGGTAGTTCTCCCTGGAGTACTTATTCAATAAAACAGCTCCATAAAATCCGTAATCCATAATTATTTGTCACATAACCCCCTACACATGACAATATATAAATTTTATACACTAGAAGAAATATGAATTTGCAACTGCAATTGATTATATAGAATATAAAGTGATAAAGGAGGAATACTAAACACTCTGCTCACAACAGTGATTTGGATAATCTGGTTTAATCAGTTTAATAGAAATTATCTATTTTTTCATTCAGGATATGTGAAATAGCTTAGAGCTCTGAAAGGTATTGATTGCAGAACACAACAATCTGCTACCATTTCCTTATTAAAATGAACACAGTTGTGTATATCAAGCTCTCTTCATATCAGTGTCTATATGGACCATTTCTGCAGGTATTCATGTGCATGTGCTTAAACCTCTGGTTGAAGAATATTCAAAGCAGATTCCTTTTAAGTTCTTACACCACTTTGTGCGAAATTATGTTTGACATAAGTTTCCTCAAAATTGTTTGTGCCATTAACTATTTGTAATTTTCTAAACACAGAAGTATGGGTTACTTGACGCCATAGCTCAAGCGGTTAGTCGCTGGCTTCCCATCGTGGCAGCCCAGGTTCGAATCTGGGTCTGGTCAAGTGGGATTTGTGGTGGACAAAGTGGCGCTGGGGCAGGTTTTCTCAGAGTACTTCGGTTTCCCCTGCTAATCTTCATTCCACCAATTGCTCCACAATCACCTTCACCTATCATCTGGGGCTGGTACAATAGGCCAGAAGTGGCCACAGTACAAGGGACTTAGTCCCACCCCACGAGCAATAAAAAAATGGGTTACTTGTAGCTGTGTTTGTGTCTTATCACAACATACAATGTCATCTCTCTAGTGAGACTGGTTCTTCAGTTTTATCAACAAAAAACCACCAAATAAATCCCATGTAGTTAGTTTTATTTTACATAAATTTACTGCCAGTGTTATGAAATATTATTGACTTCCACTAAATTATGTGTAGCATGAATGGGGAGAAGAGGAATGCATATAGGATATCGGTGGGAAAACCTGAAGGAAAGAGCCCACTGGGAAGACCAAGGTGTAGATGGGTGAACAATGTTAAAATGTATCTTAGAGAGATAGGATGGGATGGTAGGGATTGGATTGATCTGGCTCAGGATATGGACCAGTGGAGGGCTATTGTGAACACAGCAATGAACCTTCAGGTTCCATAGAATTATGGAAATTCTTGAGCTCATTCAAAATTAGCGATTCCTCAACAAGGGCTCAGCTCCATGAGTAAGTACACTAAATAATGCTATTGATATAAGTCTAACCTGCCTTTTATTTTGGAAACCAGGCCCAAAAGACCAGCTATTCTGAGTGATTTTATAGTTTTCTTCAGTCCTTCCAGGCGAAATCCAAGATAATACCTCAAATTAAACCATTAATGCTTCCTTTCATATTATTTCCATTTTATTATTGACTAATAAATCTACCATTTCATGCTATACAGTAGATTCTACTCACAGCGTCATTAAATGAACCACAAATAAATAAAAAAATATGTTGCTTCTACCACAAAAGTTACAATTCCCCTTATGTTGGTCTTGATGGGAATTAATTGATAATAAGTAAGTGGAATAGCCTTAAAAAGGTAAGATATTCACATCAGGGCATGCTGTAGCATAGTTGGTTGAGGCACTATGCTACAAGTTTCGAAGGTCACAGGTTCAAATTCTGACGAGGTCACTGGACTTTTCAATTGACCTAATTCTTCCAGCCACATGGTGGCCCTGTGGTAGACTGAAGCTCTAACAGAAATGAGTACTAGGAATCTTGCTGGGCGTAAAGGGTGGCCAGCCAGTGCGTAAGGCAGACAATCTCACCACCAGAATTTAAAGTTTAAGCTGTGCCCTGTTACCTGCAGAAACATATCAAAATGACAAGTGTGTCTTGCATGCCTACCTTTCACATAGCACCTTTGAAGAGAAGATACATAAAATTCTTAATTCTACTCTGATATTCTTTATTCCAGTATCATAAATATTCATCTTCAGTCACCAGTCAATCAGCAGTTAAAACAAAAAAATTAAGTGATATGACTTACCTGCAGGACATGCTGCAGATCTGCAGATGAATGGCAACAGAGACTCACATGTTGTTAACTCCCACGACTGATGACTGTCCATTAATGTCACATCCACACACTCTCCTGATCGTGGGTCAGGTTGACTTTGCTCCCAAAAGCCTGTAGCCAATGTAATAAATATGTGAACAGCTGAGCTATATAAACTTCATAATCTAATTCTATTTTCAGTTTTACCAATCCATAATATCATGACACACACTAATGTCTGACATATTTTCTCTAATTTCTAAATAAAGTCTCATAGAAAAAATCTCCTGGCTTCAGAAGTCTCTGAGGTAAATTTGAGCTCAGGCATATCTAGAGTGAGGAATTTATTCATAATCATTCATGTAGAAATATTATTGCATTTAATAAACACTAAGTAGCTAAATTATTACTCTGTCCTGATTCTTCTCCACATTCGTCTGCTAGTGAAGGAAGGAGCACACACATACAAGCTCAGCTCCTAATTTCCTTATATAACAACAGTTTATTTTATAAAAACTAATCTTACCTTTCACACCATTTAATTGTACAGCAAATCCTTAACAGTAGTACCAATCTTTTTAAAACTTCACTTCCTTTTAGCAGTATAGTTCATGTACAGTTACAGTTTAACACGTTGTGTACTCCTCATACAGTACGGACATTTTCTTTCATATGACGAGGCACCTCTACTCTATTAATTAACTTGCAATGTCATGGGCCTCCAATACCATCTTATATTTTTATTTTGTCCACGGAACGTATAAAGTAAACATATGACTGATTAGATGTTATAAAACATCAATTTTAATCTTGTTTTATATTATAACCTTCAGTTTCATATATAAATGACCGTTGTATTTTTACAAAAAATGAATTAACTATTTTGTCATTGTATCTAATTTTACTACAGTTCAATAGTATACAATATTATATCTCAGCATCCTGTTGCACTCTACACGATAAATGATACACAATCCGTCCCAAGTGCAAACAATATATATTATATGTCTTTGATCTTGTTCTTTTCTACACTACATGTTTCGGCCTCTATCGGCCATCATCAGGTGTATACTCTTAACGTTGCTGCCACACTGAAACCCAGTCTAAAATTTAACATTTAAAAACACATTGTTATTTTTGTCGTATTATCAACATCTACCTCGTTGATATGTGTCTGGTATGTAGATTATATTGCACACGTCAAATTTTCCTGTAGTAGCACTATAAAATCTTTAGTTATGATTTTAAAA